GTGAGCAGCAGAGGAAGAACAGTGAGGACTCAGGTACGGCGCAGTCCTGGCAGCAAGGGAGAGGGGCAAACGGAGGGGCCACACGGCCAGATGCGCGGCCGGCCCAGTGTGGAAGGCTGTGTGTGTGCCCTTTTGGAGGTGGCCTTTGTTTTTACTATTGAACCCTTGCTGCCCTCATGAGCAGCAGGCTGCTCTAGCGCGTTGCCTCTCAGCCTTCCACCAAGGGGAGCCAGGGCTGGGTGTGGCTCACACACTCAGGGGCTGGCAGGGTTCTGGGTTCACCCTGTGCCATACACATGCACACCCCCAGAGCCTTGCCTCGGGTTCCTGGCAAGTTCTGCTGTGACAGGAAGTGACTGCTGAGACAGTGGACACAGGTGAAACATGGGTGGTGGCAGCCCTGTGCACTCCGATTGCTCAGCACAGAGCTGTGTGGGAAGACAATGTCTGTGTCACTCGGGACCCCCAAGGGGCACTCTGCAGACCCATGTGCTTGCAGTTTATACCTTAAAATGCTTTCACATCTAGGGACAGCTTGTTCAAATGGGTGACCCAATGCCGTGGGGTTGCTGGTCCTCTAGCCAACTGAACCTACCCCCACCATCCCCTCTGCCACCACCCAGTGGATGTGTGTGTGGCCTCCCATGCTGTCAGGACCCCCAGAGGATGACCACAGCCAGCACCCCCAGGCCAGATGAACAGCACCCTGCTCATCGCAGAAAGTGACCTCTGTAGATCCCTGCTGTTTCTGCAGTGTAAGGTTTTGCCACCCACAACACAAAACACGTGAGCTAATGAGAGTTTCTGGGCAGGATTAAGGTCTTTGCTCTGTGAATAGAGCAGCACCACACAGGTGATGAGCTGTAATCACAGCCACGAGCATGGGAAGCTGTGTGTGCGCCCAGGTCAGTCAGCAGCATACATACACGCACTTCCTGTGCACACAGAGCCAGCCAGCACTGTCATCTCCGTGTGACCCAGGCAGGACAGTGCCAGGACAACCGGCCACAGGTGTTCTCTGGACAGGTTCAAGGACCTGGTGGCCCGTCACAACCCCATGTGGGTTTCCAGGGCCTGGATCCCAGCCTGTTTGGATGTGGTGTCAGCCAGCCTGATGTCCATTGCCATGCCCAGCCAGGTGCAGATGTGCTGCCTGTGTCCTCAGGTTTCCAGGGTTGGGCCACCTCTCACACTGGTCAGGACCCTGAGTGGCACGTCCTGTTCCTGGGTCACCTCTGGAAAGGCAAGGGGGCATGTGCTTGGCAGATGTGGTGCTATGCAGAGAGGCCCCTGCCTGTCTCCACTGGGTGGTGAGGCTGTCCCTCTGAGGGCTGCCCTGGGCTGGTCCATGTGGGCTGTGGTGGGCTGTTGTGTGTCCTAGGAAAGAGGTGCTAGTTAGCTGGCACCTAAGGCTCCCCAGCCCAGGGAACCCATCTTAGGACAGCCAAAGAAGCCGAGGAGCAGGAAGCACCAGGCAGGCTACACTACCCCGAGGTAGGCACTGAGCACTGCCCAGCAGTTTTGTCCAGGCCCCTCCTTCTCAGTCCCTGCAATGTGAGGACACTGCCTTGGGTGGGGGGCACTGGGAATGTAGGGGAGATGGGGCAGGGAGAGACGTGAGGGTCCAGCCCAGGAAGCTGAAGGTGTGCCTGCTGCTGCCCCACGGGTCCATGGGGAGCCCAAGGTGTCCATGTTGTAGCCAGACGGCTTTGAGACCTCCCCATCTGACCCTCACTCCCCTCCACACACAGGCTCAGAATCAGCAACTGACCCCTCCGCTGCCTCCCCTTAAGCACTAGGCCCATTCCTCAGGCCAGCATCTCACTGACCCAGAGAGTGGAGTCACTGGCTAGCCCACCCTCAGGCTGGCTAAGGAGATGGCATCAGGCCTGTGTGCAGCAGGGGCCCTCATGTTGGGTTGTGAGGGCAGGTGAGGTTGCCAACTGTCCCTTCTCACCACAGGTCGACCATTTGGGCCCACCGAGTCTGCTTCCTGGAGGAGCAGGCCCTGCCCCGCTGGGCAGCCTTCACCATCTGGAATGCGGGCAAGCAGGGCCGCAGGCTATACCGCAGCCTGACCACTGCCAGCCAGCGCAAGGCATGTGTCCCCTCCAAGCCCCAGTACCCCACACTGGCCCTGACTTAGCCCTACAGCCCTGTCCCCTCTGACCCTGGCTGTGATATGCCCCCAGGTGGTTGCTTTCTGTGATGTCGACAAGAATAAGATCAAAAAAGGCTTCTACTGTCATGAGGATGCCCAGGTGTGTGGGCCCCTCCCAGGAGAGTCCCAGCCCTGGCCAGCAGGTGCCGCCTCTGCTCCTGGGGTCGGAAGGGCCTTGGCCCTGTCCTTGAGGGAGATGTCCCAATTCCAGCCCCATGAGCCTGGCAGTAAGGTACAGGGAGCACCTCCTCCTCTTGGAGGAGCCCATGTGACCTGTGTGGCTGGTGCTGTGCCCTCCAGGAAAGACCCAAGCCACGGGTACCCATCCTGCATTTCCGAGCTGCCCGGCCGCCCTTCGTCATCTGCGTGAAGCTGGTAAGTGCTGCTCTACAGCTGCGGTCCCAGGACTGACAGCCACCCTGACCACACTTTTGTGGCCTGGGACAGGACCGTGGCATGGGACGCGTGGTTGTGATCATCTGGCCCTTGTTCTAAGTGGGCACTTGCCTGTGGCCCACAGCAGCACCCTGGGCCAGGTGCTGCAGAGCAGCGGCCAAGCCCAGTGCCATCAGGGATCCTGCCACTCCTCCCAAGTGACACCCACATCCTTAACGCACAGAATAGCTGTGACCTGTTCCCATGACAGAGCTATAGGAGCCTAGTGGCCCTATGTCAGAAGTCCTGCTGTGGGGCTGCCAATGCACTCCTCACTGCCCAAGCAAGGTGAGGGGGCCCTGTGGCCTCCACCCTACTGTGAGATCCAGGTCACCCTGGGCTCGTGTTTGGGGGTCCGAGATCACACCCCTTGCCCAGCTGCAGCTGCATGGGCAGTCACTGCCAACCCGTGCAGGGGCGGACAAGGGAGCACAGCCTGCTGACCCACAGCATGGGGCTGGCACCTCCCATGGAGACATAGGCCTGGGTCCTTCTGCCACCCACACCTGCAGCAGGAGTTCAGTGAGCGCAACAGCAGGCCCAGGCGGAGTCCAATCCCAGCTCCACTGCAGGTCCTGCAGGCCTCAAATCATGGGAGCCAGGCCAAGCCAGAAGTGCTGCTTCCCCATAGGACCTCACGGGGGGCGAGTTCGAGGACAACCTGCGATCGCTGCAGCTTCGCGAGGGCCAGGACTTCCTTCACTTCAGCTGAGCACCACGGGCATGCAGGGTGCCTTCTCGCCCCACACAGTAGTGTGGTTGTGCCTGCCCTGCAAGAGCAGCTCCGGCTCTGGCTCCAGAGGCCTTGTGCATGGCTCCCAGGCTCACTACTCATCAGGTATTTCGTAACTCAATGTAAACTTGAAACTATGTGATCTAAAGCAAGAGCTCTTACCAGAGTTCGGTTCTGTATTCTCAGCAGGTCCACTGACCGCGTTTCTCGTGTTAACACCGCCTCCTAATTGTGCGTGCCCAGTCGTGGCTTCGGTGGTACACACTGGGTAGCCAAAAAGTCTCACGTGTGGCACTGGCACTCTGTGAGCTCATAACTGAAGAGACCATCACCTTCCTGTCTCCTACAGCCCTCACTGCGGAGTTAGCAGCTCCCATGGGTGGGGGTGAGCAGCTTCAGGCCAGCATTGTCAGTGTGCAGCTCTGCCACCTAACTGGAGACCTAGTCCACTCAGGGATCAGTGGTCAGTGTACTTGCATCTAATGTCTAATTTTGCAGCTTCTGCTGCTTTTCCTTGCCCTTCTATGGCAGTGGGTTGCTTACCTTGCACTGCAGGATACTCAGCAGCCCAGCCTGGCCTCCCAAAGGCCACTACCTCGTCACTGCCCTATGGACCCCAGGGCCAGACAGCCCTGCCTGGCCACAGAGAGAGCCACATCCTGCCCCAATGTTGTCCTGCTATTGTCGATTTTATGGGCCTCTCGTGCTTAGAAATATTCCACTAGCCACATGCTTCCTGTTTATGTGGTCACGCTCCACTTGTGCATGCTCTGCTCTGCACCCCTCCTTTCAAGATGGTCTCCATAAGATGCCCCTCGCATCACAGCAGGTCGCCAGGAGGCTGCTGATCATGAGTGCCGTTCATCCACATGAGCCACTCGAGATCAGGAAGTTGGCAGTGTCAAGAGGGCACCTCGGGGCGGGGGGGGGGGGGGGTGACCACTATGTTCTCCCGACACTGACTGTCCAACCCTAAACTCCTGCTGCAGCCTCTATGTCCCCTGCCCAGACGTCTGCTGTGTACCTCAGGTCTCATGGACCTGGTGTGTCCTTGAGGGCCCCTGGCTTTGCTGCCTCTGTGGTGGCTTCCAGTAGGAGTCCAGCCTCCTGCCCTTTTCTTTCTAATGTGACAGTTTCTGCTCTTTGACATTTCAAATCCCTGTGCTCTGCAAAGCCTGTAGGGGGCAGTCCCTCAGGTCTTTTGGCTGTGCCCCCAGGACTCCCTGATGGTGCTTTAGCAAGGGTCCTGGGCCCCTCTGTACTCTGGGCTGGGCTAGCCAAGTTCCTCCAGAGTTTTACGTCACTGCCCCTGCTGGCGAGCACGTGTCTCGGCAAGAGGCACAGCTTCCTCAAGACTTCCCTTCAGACCAAGCCTTCCCTTCAGACCAAGCTGGGCTCACAACATGTCAGCTGCTTCCAAGCGCAGCTTAGGCTTGGGGCTGTCACACTGGCCTGAGGCCGCAGCATCCACTCTGGGTCCCACTATGGGGTCTTGAGGGGCTGCACTGCTGCTAGGACTCCCACATCATGACCGGTCTGGAAGAGAATAGCTGTCCCTACCCTGCTACCAGCACAGAGGACTCAACCCCTGGCCTCGCCAGCTCACAGAGGCCTCTGGCCGCCACCTCAGGCTCACAGTCCCCTGTCCCGTCATGGTCCACAGACATGGTGGGCTGTTTGGAATATGACTTTATGGGAGCACATTTGTGTGAGGCAACAGCAGATGTGCACGCGAGGAGGAGGCGGCGCGTCCCTCTGTAGACGCCAACATGGGCACCAGACTCTGGTGCGGCTGGTCAGCAGCACTGAGTGCAGGACGTCCCTGCCAGGCAGATGCAGCAGCTTAGCACCAGGACCAGCTTCAGTGGGCACCAGGCTGCAGAAAAACGGCAGGTTTGGCAGTTGATTGTGGCTTCTGCCATTCAGGCCTCAGCCCTGTCCCTGTAGTGATCCTGCACCTAGTGAGGAGGCAGAGAGGACCCAGCAGCACCAGGTGGTCAGGGACTCTGCTGAATAAACATGGGGCCGCTGAGCCCCAGGGCTGGAGAGTGTGGGCCGGGCAGTAGCAGCTGGAAGGGCCTGCTGACAGCTCCAAACAGAGGCCTGACTACCACCAGGCGTGAGGGGCTGCAGGAGATGGACACAGGGAACACAACGGGGCAGAACAGGCCCAGCAGCAGGAAAGAAACACTAGGATCAAGCTGCAAACAGAGGCTGAACCCTGGCACAGCACACTTAGCAAGTGAAGTGCAGCACAGCACAGCACAGAGGACAAGACAGATAGAGATGACTACAGGAGGTGCGTGGGCCTGGCCTGCGCAGGGCGGCCTCCTCACCTGGCCATGCTCCCTCATTCTGCAGGACGTTCCCTTTCCTGTGTATAACTCGCTAAATACAAACTAGAAGAGTAAGACCTCAGGTACAGCCTGGAGCGCTGGGATGTAGCAATCGGCAGGCAGGTGTGGCCCTTGGCAGCCCTCAGGCCTCAGGCAGAAGCCAAGGAGAAAGGAAACCAAAGCTTTCACAAGGCAAACACCCCACTACCTATGCAGCCTCCCTAAAAGACCCAGCAAGGGAGACTAGTGAGTCTATGACCTGTGTACAGGACGGAAGGCGCCTGGAGGAGAAGCTTCCGTAGCATGCAGCAGCAGACCCAGACAGCCCACATGGGTGCGCAGCTCTGCTGAGCACCAAGGTGGGGACAAAGCCCTGTATCCCTCGCACCAAGATCCCTCTGACAGGAAGGAGAACAGTGCTTGGAGCACCATGGCATGAGACTCAGGCTACAGAAGATGGTCGTTGTGGGGGGCAGTCTCCATAGCCTGGGAGGATGGGGCCCTCATTCAGTAGGTACAGGAGGTGCCCAATGGAGGAGATGGGCAGGAGATTCTGTATGAGGGGCCAGGGTCACCACAAGTCCTCCCAGAAATAGACACCTGGCACCATTGCAGCAGGAGGCCTGTGTTGGGTTGGGCACAGAAAACAACAGGTTTACCCACCCCATGGCAGTCCCAGGCCATGTGCCCATGAACCAAGCCAAGTGTGGGCTGTGCCCCAAGAAAGCACACTGTGTAATGGTTTATGTCCAGATCGCCGCCACCACCAAAGCCTCATGTGCTCATAGGCTGCTTTTTGGGAGGTGACTGGCTCATGAGGCATGATATTCATCATTGCTTCGCTGATGAGTTTATAGCTAGCAGTGGTGTTAAAAGGTAGAGCCTGGTGGGAGAAGGGAGTCGCTGTCGGTGTGGCCTGGAATGGTCTCTCTCCTTCCTCCTCCCTTGATCCCTCATGCTTCCTGCTGCCCTGCCATGAGCTGTTTCTCCTCTGCCTTGGGGCTAATTAATGCCTCTACAAACTGAGCCAAAACACTTCTTAGATTTGTAGGTGTCAGATACAACTGGCCTAATGAAGAACCTAAGACACTGTGTCTAAAGACATACTGCCACCAAGATGAGTGGAAGATAAGGGGCCCATGACACTGGAGGGGTGGGAGGCAGGAATTACCTTGGGGACCAGCTGGGGTCTGGGCACACCAAGGAGGTCGCACAAGTGATTCCGCTGCTCTCTGACGACCGGGAGCTCAGCATCCCTGCACAGAAGAGGAAGCCATGAGCCCTCGAGCCACGTGCCTGTGTGTGCAACTGCATGGCCCATGGCCTCGAGTGAGCTGGGAAGACATTCCAGCCGGCAGTGGATATGGGGTGAGCTGGTGAGCACTGGATCTGACCGGAGCGTTTGCACTACGTGCTACAAGGGATTTTCAAGTTGTAGCTGAATTTAATTTTTTGTTTTCATCAAAACCAAAACTTTAGCAATGTTGTGGCAAAACACTGAGCAAGTTTCTTGTGTGATAGTTATTGTTAAATTGTTTGAAACTTTAAACAGAAAACAGGCTGAGGTAATGTGTCCAGTCACTCTTTCTGTCCTGACTCAATGTTTTTAAAACAATGAAAACAACTGCTCTCTCATGTGGTAGCTCAGCTGCCAACTTCCAGACGTGCCAAGTCAGGGTGCTGAGGAGCAGAGGTGCCCACAACCCCCTCTGGCTCCCACAGCACTGTGCCCCTGCTGGGCTGCGCCTGTGGGACGGAAGTGGGGCAGAACAGGGCCCAGCCTGCCTAGACCCTGTCCTGTGCGTGGTTGCTGCTGCCATTGCCAAAACAAGGCGATACTGGTGCACGTGGAGGAATGTGTGTGTCCTCAAGTGTGCACCCAGATCCTGGTGGCATGTGACAGTGCATGGGGGTGGGTGTGTAAATGGGTACACTCATGCATGCAGTGTGCGTAGTTGTACATGTGCATGTGGGTACAGTGCCTATATCCCAGCCCTCCCACAGCACAGCAGCAGGATGGTCGTCAGTGTGCTGCTGTCCCTAGGACCTCAGCCCAGGACACCTTGAAGCTGCGCTGTGGCTGCATCTCCCCATTTGGCTGAGGAGAAGGACGAGGGTGGCCATGTGCCTAGCTCACGCCCACACTGCTGGCTCAACTCTGTCAGAGCTGGAAAGAGGCAATGCAGCCTTACTGGTAGAGTCTGACACCCGACATCACAGGGTCAGACAGTCACCAGCGCCCAGATGCATGCCCCGGAATAGGGGAGAAATCCAGGCTGCCCACCCTGCACTTTCCAAAGAGCCGCACCTGGAGAAAACCTTTCTACCTAAAGCCCTAGCCCACTGGTCCCCAGCAGAGGCAGTGAAGGACGGTGTTGAGCTGGCTAGGGTTGAAGTGTCCCCTTCCTCCCTCAGAGGGCCTGAGCCGCCGCCTCGCCCAGCCTCAGCAAGACAGGGGCAGGCACTCAGGTCCCCACTCACCAGGCCGTGTCACTGAGCACAGCCATGACCTCATCTAGGACGTCAGCACTCAGCACACCGCTGTAAGTGAGCACCATCTCGTACACCTGGCTCGCTGTGGCTTTCCGGATCTGGGAAGGACAGAACATCAGTGATAAGAAACAGCATGGTCAGGGAGCCTGAGGTCCCATAGTGACCCCGAAGGAGTACCCTTTGGGGTAGGACAGTGCCCTTGGAGGGCACAGGGCAGGAGAGGAGACTTCCTGAGGCCTCAGGACTGTCCTGTCACTGTCAGGAAGCCACTGCTGCTCTTCTCCACCCCCGAAATCCATATTCTCAGTGGTCCAGGAAGGCTGGGCTGAGGGTTCAGCCACCCAACCTGATAGCCACTGCATTCTGCAAGCCACTCCCACCTCTTAAAAAAGGTCACCCAGGGCCAGGTCCTGAGTTCTCAGAGCCAGAGGGAAAAGGAAGTCTGGGCAGTCTCCACAATGAGAGCTGGGCTCTGGTGAAGGGTGCCATCCATCAGTGGGACAAGCCCTAAGTCCCTTAGGACTTGCCTGGGTTCTGAGGTCCTGAACGCAGCCTGGACGCAGACCCAGCCACACTTCCCTGCCTGGAGCCTCTGCCCACGCTGTGGGGCACCTACAGCGCACCCTGCACTCCATCGGTTTCCCAGCCCGCGTCAGTCCCAGCTGCATGTGCTGGCTTTAAAGGCCTCTGTCTGTAGGGGCCGACACTCACCACGGGGAATGGGTGGCAGAGGAGCAGCATGAGCTGCAGGAGCACTTTCTTTCTCACGTCGCCACAGAACTGCACCATGCCGCAGAGGCTGCAGGAACAAGCCAGAGGGATGTGAGGCCAGGCAGGCCAGGCCCCAGGGCTCCCGAGACCACCAGCAAGGTCGAGGCGGTGGAGACCAGGAGGCATGGCACAGGATTTAGGGTGCAAGGACACTTCAGAGAGCCTGGCAGCTGCCCACCTGTGAAGTGCCCCTAACCTGCTATGTCACCCAACCTCTGCGCCTATGGCGCAGTGGAGGTGTTTGCCCAGTGGCCTTACCTCTCGTCACAACTGCTGCAGACAAACATGCAACCTGGGCACTTACAGAACATGAGCCCCCTCCAGTGCAGTTCTAGACCAGGCCACTTGAAACTTACACTGCGATGCTGGACCGAAGCTTCTGGATGTCTTTTGACTTCTTGATCTCTTCTTTACAGAGTGCAAGCAATCTCACACAGAAGGGATGGCTGTAAGGAAAACACAGTGTTCTAGAGCGAAGCTTCCAGGGCAGTGACAAGGGGCCAGTGGTGGCACCCACGGGCCACTGCCACTGTAAAGCCACCAGAGGGCCCATTCACCAGGGCACACTGGGCAGGAAGCAGAGACTGGCTCCCTGACCATCTGGCAGGTGCAGCAAAGGAGAGAAGCCTGTCTGTCTAACCCAAAAGCATGCTGTCCATGATTTTCCCTGATCCGAGGCAGCCTGGCTCTCGCAGAGTTACAGTGCCCATAACAGACCCCAAGAAAGCCGGAGAATTTCATGGTCCTGAGCAAAGACACACAAAGGTTAAGCAGGAAAACACACCTTTCTAGGTAGCCTCAAGCTGGCACCACTGCTCCAGAGCTGGCCTAGGACAGCATGGCTGCCCTGGGCCCAAGTGGTAGAGGTGGCCTTGACCCGAGACCCCCACTGCCACTCATGTGGGACCCTCTCACCCTGGCTCCCACCAACCATCATGCTGCTGAGGGCTATGGTCACTCTGGTCCCAAGTCCACTCAAAGGCACAGCTATCCAGAGCTTCCCTCAAAACGGTGCTCAATTTCCCTGTGCTCTAGCCCCTGGCCATGTGTGCACCAAAGCTCTGTCAGGACTTTAAAGCCTATGCCACAGTCATCTCCGTCCACACCAGCACCTGCTGAGCCCAGCACTGAGTCCATCTGACAGGCCCCAGCTACACTGGCCGCACCATTCTCTGTCTTGGGAAGGACAAGGCCAGACAGGAAGGGCACAGCGTGGCCTCCCACTCTCTCCCCTGACACGTCTCACTCAAGGTAGTGTCTACAAAGACCAGTGACCCCTCAGCCCCACTCCCACCAGCCCAGCCCCTGGCTCCCCTTTTCACTGGCCATTGAGGATTCATGCAGCAGCAGCTGCAGCAGATACCATCACCAGCTCCAGGGGCAAGCGGGCTCTTCCTGGGCTGGGGCTGTGCTGGACACCTGGACTCTAGGGGAGGTGGCCAAAGCCTGTTCTGTCAACACCCAGCTGAAGGTACTATCAGGAGAGGTGTAGACAAGTGTCCCTACCCTCCCTGAAGGGCTGCAGCTGAGCACCATGAGACATGGTCCTCACCCAGGCCTCACCTCACACAGACATGCAGCTCCATACATGCGTCCCAAGCACGCTCCACTCATGGCCAGGGCGGGGCTGCACAAGAGATGCAAACATGCACACCAAAACCAAGAAGACTCCACAAGTGAACGCAGCAGGGTTCAGAAACATAAGCATCTTGAGTCAGCAGCTGAAGGCACATGAGGGGTAATGAGGCAAGAGAAAGGCAGCTGTGAAGATGCAGAGCTGAAGCGCAGTGGCGAGACACAAGACAGTGACACAATACAGGACCTGAGCACCAAGCTTCCCGTGGGACGTGGGAGCCAGAGCAGGAGACACAGCACACAGCGAGGGCAAAGCACCTAGCATTCTACTCTTCAGATGAGGCACCAAGAGCGCTGGGGTGTTCTCTGGAAAGCAGAGATGAGACAAGGCCATGAAGGGCAGAACGTAATGAGAGAGAACAAGCAGTAGATGTGGACTGTAAGATGAGGCCACCTGAGGCTGGGGATTTAGCTCAGTATAAGTGCCTGCCTGGCAAGTGCAAGGTTGCGAGTTCAATCCCCAGTACAAAAGGGAAAAAAAAAAAAAAAAATGAAGCTAACTTCACAGTGACTGGGAAGAAGCAAGCAGCAGGTAAGCCAGACCCACATGCACCATCCTCCGTGCAGTCTAAAAAGATGAAATACTGGAATGGGTAACCATTAAGAGACAGGAAAAAAGTACAAAGTCCCCCCAAAAGATATGAGCAAAGTGGAATGAGAAAAATGATTCAGGTAATCAAAGTGATGGCAAGAGATGGGGGGAGGTGGTAAATACAAAACCAGGGGAAACACCGCCCTGTGGCAGAGTCAGCTGCCAGCCACACAGGTGCACACCTGTGACTCAGCTACATGGGAGACTGCAGAAGATCGAAAAGCTAAGGGTGGCCTCGGCGAGAGAGCCAGGCCCTGTCTCATGAAATAAAAAACTGAAGCTGAGATTAAATGAAATAAATTAAAGGACCCAGCTAAAGATAATCAGAATTTTTACAGACTGCAGACTATTAATAGCAGGCATTCAAAAAACACAGTGGTGCCATGGCTCACAAACACAATTCTCTTCATGATTCTGGTTGCAAACCAAACTGGATGAGAACCAAATCAGATTTCCCCAGGAGCTCAACCCTGAACCTAACCACTGAATTTGCTTTGGTTCTCGTTCAACTTGGTTTGTGACCAGAATCATGGAATGAATCACGTTCTTGAACCAAGTGCCATGAGCTTGATCCTCAGTCCATGGACACACAAGCTTGATTCTTTCCACGAGTCTGGAAAAGATGACCACATTAAAGCTCATGGAGAAAGATGGTCACTGTCATGTTTGCTGCCCAACACGGAATTCACAAACATAAACAAACTGTTGGCAAACAAAAACATTCGTGAATCAAGATTCCACTGTACAAATATGAAATACTGAAAGTCAAAGAAAAAAATGTAAGTTCAAAGTTACTAGAAGCAATAAAAAGACAAAGAGGATAAGCAAAAAGCATCTCTAGCAATGGAAAGGGTCATTCCATATTGAGTCAACCCTGATCTTGTATAGGCCAAAAACACAGTCTGAAAATCCATGAAGCAAAAATTGACAAACTAGAATTTTTAAAAAGCTGTATCACAGCAGGAGATTTTCCCCACCATCTTATGTCTTATTTTGAAACACACATACACTGAAGGGGACCTTAGCAGGCTGCACACACAGCATGAACATGGTGACAGCAGAACATGCTGGGTGTGGCTGCTGGCACAGTCCTCCCCATGGCAGCCAGAGCCAAAACAATGCGCTAGCACTTGTTAAAAGGGTAACTTCAAGGTTAAGATTCAGAACACATCCAGGGCATCCAGCGAAGCTGGGATCCACCTTTCTGCCCAAAGCAGTGACCTCAGCAGGATTCAGGAGATGAACGCTGCAGGGGAGGCAGCCAGGCCCAGGGCCCTGAGAAACGAGAGGCAAGGGGCTGAGTCCTGGTCAGCTGGGAGAGCCAGGAGGCCTCATGACTGGGGAAAGGGCCCCCAGAGAGAACAGGAAAGCCCACCTGCTCCCAGCCAGGGAGGAAAGCTTAGAAAGTCAACAGCAGCACGCAGAGACCTTGGCAGTGGGAGAAAGTCAACCCGAGACATAGCCCTGGATTCCCTAAGCATTAAAAGTGGTATCAGAAAGGTCAGACTCTTCCTGGAAACTTCAGTGCCCCAGATGCAGGGAAGTCTGCATGTAGGAAGAGCCAGCAAGCATTCAAAGCATCAGGGAATGACAGTTACAACAGGATCAAGCCAGCGCAGCACCCTGAGGGCATGGGAACAGCATGTCACATGGTGGTGTGGATGCCCCCACAAGAGGCACAAGGCCCTCGGTGAATAGAGGGCACAGACTGCTGCAGCCCCTGCCTGCTACCCACGAAGCCAGCCAGGCCCTTCCCATAGCTCAGGCTCCACAGCACCTGTTGTGAGTGGCCCCAGCCCCACCAAGGCTGCTGTGTGGAACCCTGAGCCCATGCACACTGGAAGGGAGTTCTGGGTTCTGAATGCAGGTCTGAGCACTGCCTCTTTAAAATGTAAGCTACTTGGGAATGAAGCCAGTGGGGTGGGACAGGTGAGCCTCACTTTTCCTCCTTGGTGAAAATGTCCAAGCATCCATTAGCCAACATCTGATCCAGCGTCTTCAGCAGCGACACAGACACCCTGCAGGGAGGAAATTCACATGAGACTATGCCATCTCCCAGGGTACACAGGAACGTGGGAAGGGCCAGACAGACACAGGGTCCACACATTGACTGAGGCCTCCAGGCCACTGCATAGAGAGGGCAGTGTCCCCAGTCCGGGGCCAAGGCAAGTCAGTTCTCACAGCGCCTTTCGTCCTAGGGGGTGCCGCTCACTGAGGCCCGGAGCCTTCCTGCAACCAGGATCCAGTTGAGCGCGCCTGGTGCACAGCTCAGACCACTTTGCTGCCAGGGTACGAAGATGGCCCAAGGGCAGGCGAAGAGGAAACAGGAAAGCAGGCATGGCCCGGTGGCACACAGCGTGTAAGTCGAGCCTCGCCCTTTCCTGCTGCACGGGTGAACCTGGCCACTGCTCCCCAGACCCCCACAGATAGGACAGTGACAGCCCTGCACACCGTCTCTTCCCAGCCTGCCTGCCAAAGGTACCACTTGCCTGTCATTTAGGAGGTTGTCTTCAAAGACCTGCAGGAGGGTCTCACTGAAGCTGCCCAGGGCCTGGGGGTCCTGCTGAATCCCCTTCATGTACTCAAAGAAGCTTTGGGTGGAATGCTTGACCTGCAATGCCAAAGGGGCCTTGAGTTCACGGCAACTGAGTGCCAGGAGGCTACAAGGTCCCGAAGGGCCACAGGTGCTTGCCAGAGTGAAGACAGGCACACAGCCCCGCCACAAGGCACACATTGGAACACAATCCTCTGGACAGTAGCACCCCACACCTGTGCCATGAGGTAGTGCCTGGGCTGCAGGTGGTATCAGTACCAGCTACAAGAGTTCCAGAGCTCGGCGGGCCCAGAGCCCAGATGCACCCAGGCCTCCATGGAGGATCAGAACAGAACCAGAACTGGACCCAGGACAGACACAGGCCCCGATCAGAGCCGAACAGTCCTGAAATGAGAGCCCCTGGCCTGCCTGCTAGTTGAGCACCACTATGAGGAGAAGGTAGGTGCATGGCAGCCCTGGCAGCATGCTGGGGCCTGGACTTGGGAACATGTCAAACCCCATCCCCAGAAGTGGAGACACAGCAGACGGAAGCACGGCAGGAGGCAGCGAGAGCCCCAGGCAGCATCTGAGTGGAAAGAGCTCGTGCAGAGAGCACAGAGCACCTTCAGGCAGCACTGCAGCCCGAGGAAGCAGCCGTGCGTGTCCAGGGCAGTTGGGGCTGCTACATGGCCGCACAGGGAGCAAAGGCTTCTCATAGCTGCTGCGCACTCTAACACACTTTGCCCTCCTCAGACAGTACGCAGATGGGAAGCTTGCAGACATGGATCTTGCCTCACAGCAGCAGATCCATCCAGATGTGCAAACCCTGGTTTTCAGGCAGCTCCTTTATGGCAAGGCCACAAAAGGCCCCAAAACATCAGCTACACTTGTGACAGAGCTGCCAATGGGGTCCAGGAACTGTCAAAACAGCCACTGCCCCTCAGAACGCTTGACACATTGCCAAGTTCAGCCACACCGATGTCCAGCATCTGCCCAGGGAGCCCAGTTCACTTGGCCTCTTTGACCACAGGCAAGGCGCCGGACCCAACCCAAGGAGCCCATGAGAGACATGGAGAAAGACTGGCCCATGGAGACAGAAAACACGCAGCTGACAGAAGAGACACTGCTAACTCCCTCACGTACCTGGCCCTGGCCCCGGCCCTACCCCCAAGGAAGAAAAAGATGCCCTGTCCCCTGCCCCTGCCCAGCCAGAGGCCTCCTCACCGTTGACTTGGTCAGGCCACCCACAGACACGGCCAGTCCCAGCAGCACGTGGTAGCGGTAGGTGGGAAGCCCCAGGAGTTGGGTGATGCGAGGGAAGGCCTGTGAGGCTGCGTTCCAGTTCACAGTGGCCACGTCGGACCTGCAAGAGAGCAGATTCCTCGCAGCCTGCCTGGATCACTGTGCATGGAGGTGGGGTGGGGGGTGTTGTGTGCAGCAGTACCTGGGGAATAGTACTTCTAGTTCCTTGCGGTGGGGCACGTGGGGGACAGGGGAACTGTCAAAGTGCAGGAGCGTCAGGAACACGTGGGCAGCGTGGGCACGTAATCGGTCGATCTTCTCGCTTGCCTGCTGGGCCACGCGGCACATGACTTGCTCACAGCTGCAGACCAAGGGCAGCACAGTCAGTCCATGATACATGAGGCCACATGGGCTTTTTATCATTTGCAGCTGCCACAGGAACCTTGGGACAGGCAGTGGAGCCTACAACTCCAGCTGATGGGCCATGCCCACCCTGCCACCCTGATCCCTGCCACCTTTTCCTGGGATGCCACAGTGCACCAGCACTGACAAGGTCTCAGGGAGAAGAGTGGCAAAGATAGAATGACAGGCAGGGTGGCAGACAAGGAGGCTGGGGACAGGGAAGGACTCAGGCTGAGAAAGCAAGTGACTGTGAAGAGATAGTCCAGTCAGGTGACCAGGGCCCGGAGGCCTGCTCCACATTGCAGCTCCACTGATAGCACAGCCCAAGGACCTGGCAAGGTGCACAGGAAGGCAGAGACCCATGGCAAGGAAACCGAGGTCACAAGCAAGTGATGATGGCTGTCTGTCAGGAGTGGCTTCAGTCTGGGTCTGAGCCTGGCAGTGCCCTGGTCTTGTCCCCTAAACTGCCATCCCAGTGCTAGGCTGGGGAAGGCTGGGAGCCTTGTCCTGGGTGCCAAGTAGAAGCAAGACTGTTCACAAGCCGAAGACTGTGGAGTGAGGACAGCAGCAAGATAGACTGGGAAGCTGGCCTTTGTGACACTCACACGTGTGCCTCAATAAGTGCAGGCTGCGTCTGTGCCAGCAGCAGAGTCAGGTCCATCAGGCTGGTCATGGCGGCCTCACGGACCCTGCAGGACAAGGAGATGCAAGAAGATCGGCGTGCGGTGGGATTCAGGCTCTGGGCCGGCTGCCCTCCCTGGCCCAGCAAGCACAGCACCATGGGCAGCCAGCCAGGTTCCTCCCAGGAAGAGCAAGTCCATGGACCACTGCAGCCTGCTGGGAGAACAAACACTCACGGGAGGCTCCTGGGCACACTTGGACCAAGCACAGGGCAAGCCCTGCTGCTCCTCTGCAAAAGGTTAGGAAGCCACCAGAGGTACCACAGTCCCTAGCAGTGGAGAGTGTGCCCCTTGTCATCAGGAGAACTGAGGGAGCCTGGCCCCTGTGCTAAGCCCGCAGACACAGAAGAGCACACCCTGCTTCCAGGCCCCAGACCCCAGGACCTACTCTCTGGGAAGACCCTACCTTCAGCCTAGGTCAGAAAAGCCCAATGTGTGCAGTGTAGCACAAGGCCAGCACGTGCAGACCTTGCCAGAGTGAACAGCTTTGGACATGGGTGCTGTGTGTTGAAATCAGGACAAGGCAGCACGCAGCCTCAAGAGAGGGGCCCTGCCTGTCCAGGTTTCTACTGTGAGGACCAGGGCCACCCGAGAGGGCACAGACATGGGCTGACCTCAGAACCATGCCAGGGGCAGACACAGGTGTGCTGACAGCCTGCCCTGCACCACCGCCTTGGACAGCACTGGGAGATGGCGGTATGCAGTCAGGTCCCAGGGAGGCACAGGCATGGCCATGGCGGCCCAGCACCACATCCCACCCCTCCAGTGGGCTCCCTGGTAACTACAGGGGCATGGCCTTTAACCCATACTGCAGGACTCGGACAGATTGATCAGCAGAGCTGGTATGGTGGCCACCGAATGTGCCAGGACAAGTCGGGGTAGCCCACACAGCACAACAGGGGACATGGGGGAAGCCCAGGAAGTACACGGATGGGGGCATCAACCACGTGGGGGGAGGGGCACTAGCCGCAAAGCATGCTAGGAACTCAATGGAGGGCTGACGCACACAGCTCCTTTCCTACTGTGTGACAGCTCTGGAGCTGGGAAGCAGGGAGCAGGAGGAAGGCTGAGCCTGCACCCTGGGCCCCAGTGGCCCCTTCAGGAACCAGGAAAGGCCACAGCCCAGAAGTCAGACACTCCTCATGGTACCAGCTGCATCCCAGGATGAAGCCAGACCTATCGTCATGAGCCCTGGCCCAACCGAACATCAACTGATGGAGAAACCACACAGCCCAAACCCCATGACTTACATTTCGATTAAAAGTTACAAACACTTAAAAAATAATAAACACAAAATAGTAAAAGGAGACCCACAAATGACATGGCCACTTCCGTAAATATGCAGCACACTTACAACAACCATTTTTTAAAAAACGAGTATGCTGGGGGCTGGAGGTTTAGCTCAGCAGCATAAGCGCCTGCCTTGCAAGCAGGCAGTCGTGAGTTCGATCCCCGGTACCGATAAAAAGGAAAAAGACAAAGACAAAAAAAAAAAAAAACGAGTATGCTGAAGGAAAAAAAGAGAAAAAAATGATCTGGGCATGGTGGCACATGCCTATGATCCTAGCACTTGGGAGGCTGAGACAGGAGGATCACTGCAAATTCAAGACCATCCAAAGCTCAAGGCCAGCGTGAACGGCATAGCAAAACCCTGTTTCAAAAAGACAGAAAGAAAGGAAAAAAGAAAAAAAAGAGGGAAAGAGAAAATGACAAAAATAAATGAAAGATAGAATTTCTGAAAGAACCGAGTCACTAAAAAGAGTCCAAATATACAAAGCTGGCAGTCGAGCACCCACCAAAGGGCCCCCCACTGCACAGAGGTGACCTGGGGAGTGTCCGTCAACACCAGACAGAGCCACATCCACACGGGAGGCCACCGCGGCAGCACTGGCCAGCACCTGTCCTCTGGGCACTGCTCCAGGGGCCGTGGCAGCCACCACAGCCCAATGGCAAAGCCCACCACTTACTTCCCTGGCAAACTGAGAGCAACTGCTGTCATTCAGCACTCTGGGAACAGAGGGCTCCCAGAAAAACCACCCAGGTCTACATGGACCCGACAAGAGGACTTCAGACCCTTCTCATGGGAAGACACTGACACAGGCCGCCCAACAAGGCAGGGGCTGCTGCTCAGGGATGGGAGCTTCTGGGGCTGGGCTGCTGAAGGATACGCTGAAGGACAGGCAGACAGCGGTCCGAGGCAGCACCCTGCTACAGAGCCCTCAGCTGCATGGCAAGTCTGCCCCATCCCTCCGCGCTGGGAGGACGTCAGCCCTTCCCGCACAGAAGCCCCCACGTACTCTGTGCCCCCAGGAGCCAGCGGACCTGAAGGCGGAGAGCAGTGCCTCTGCAACGGAGGCAGGAAAGGTGCTCACAACAGAAGGGAAGCCGGGGGCCATGGAGGTGCTCTAATGGAACCGCAGATGGTAAAGACAGAGTGAAACTGAGAACTGTACTGGAAGACCTCAACAGCAGAGGGAGAGGAGAGGCACTACTGCTAAATACAGACCTGCAGCATCCACACAATGAACGATGAGAGAAAAGAAAATCAAAATGCAGCTTCAAGACTGACAGGTGGCGACTGCTGAGTGTTCAGAGTGGGAGGAGCCACCAGCCGACCTCCAGCACTGGACCAGAAGGGCCACGTGCCCAAAACGGGAGGGGTTGAGGTGAGGGGCTGTGTGCAGGACGGGCGCAGAGGAAATGGCCAGGCATCCAGAACAAGGAGAGGAGCTGAATGGTCAGGTATCTAGGAATGCACAATGGAGGGCAGCTGGTCAGATGTCCTGGCCTGGAGGAAAGGAGACAATCTGTTCTGTCCAGGACCGGAGGACAGGGGCAGGACAGCATAGAAAGAAACAAAGACCCAAACATTCCCAGCATCATGGGGCAGCTCACACCTTCTTTTCAAGCTCAGATTGCCAAGCAACTTCCTTGCAACCCTAGCAAAACACACTCCAACTCATAGTGCTCCCCAGTCCAGCTCCTGCCGGCCCCAAGAGCATGGACAAGAGACACCTTCAGAGCCCTCAGGGTTCCCCCTCCCACTCAGAGCAGGCCCAGGCGGCAAGAAGACAACCTCACATGGGAGGAGAAACTCGGGGACCCAGGACTGCGGGATGGACATGAGCACAGTGACAGCTGATGGCTCAGGACCCTTTGGAACAAACTGGCTCCCAGGGGTCACCTGTCATGCAGGTCCAGGGAAGGAAGGAGGATGCGTGGTGGAATCTGGCCCTTGGCTCTACACACCAATTCTGCCTGAAATCCTCTACGCTCCTCCCCAGGATGCACTGCTCCCACTCTTCCCAGCGCTCTGTGAGGCAGGCACTGCTGACAGGACACAGGAGTCTCAGCACTGACCTCCACACAGGACTCCCAACCTGAGCTCTGCAGGTTTCTCTCTCTGTCAACAGGAGCACCATGAGGGACAGGTGCGGGGAGGCCCACAAGGTGCTGCAGCCCCAAGGAAGGTGGGAGGACACATGCAGCACAAGGAGCCAGGTAAGGACCTCGCCCTGGACAGACTGTCCCGTGACATCAGTGCCTAACACTAGGGTAACAGCATGAAACACCACGACTACAGACGCCACTCTTACCAGGCCCCCACGTCGCCCCTGCTGTCTGTGGTGTAGTCACCCATGCAGCCCAGCAGTATTGTGTACACCTGGGCAACGTTCTGTCTGCACACAGCTTCATCCGGAGCCGCCTCAGCCTTCACACCCACAGTCTGGCAGATTCTGAAATGGAAACGTGTAAAGTGCACACCTCCGCCTTGCAGCCCGGCCTGCGGGCCACAATGGCCAGGTGTGGCTTCCTGTGCACAGCACAGGTGAGATGGCACCCTGCCTCCAGGTCCCGCCCAGCCTCCGCACCCCCAGCCTCAGGCTGGTAAAGAGATTAACGCTTGGGAACAGCAGGAGGCCGCATGGTCTCCACATTCTCTGCTGGCCTCTGGGAAGGCAAGTCCCTTGGTTACTGACACATTATCAGCATCACTGGTGCTCAGGTGGTCCAGGAGCCCACTATGTCCAGGAGAGTGCTCTGCTGAGCTGCACCCTTGGCCCAGCAGTGCCCTGTCTTATGTGAGCAGGAGCTGAGGCTGCCCAGTCCTCCAGGGCTCTCGAAGCAGTTCCTATGTGAAGACGCAGCCACTTGACAGGTTTTGCTCATCGTAACGGCACCAAGCTGGAAATGTGCCCTACAATCCTCTGAGCAGGGGGAACGCATGAGCAGAGGGCTGGGGAGCAGGCAGCACCTCCTCATGCTCACCTTGCAATGGCCCTCAAGCTGTCCCTCCTGGCCTCAGCAAAGCCCATGTCCTTCGAGGAGGTGCGGGTGACCACACTCAGACCATCCAGGACCTAAGGGTGACAGACAGAAGAGCGTCAGCTACAGAGGAAAGTGACTTGGCAGAGGTGTGGCCCTGCGCTGGGGCACAGCAGGGGCCAGGGCTCTGCAGGCAGCTTATGTAGGGGGCAGGGGCCACGGTGTGGTGTGGAAGGGCACATGGTCTTCCCCACTGCCTAGCCCAGCCCTGACCCCACACATCCCAGCATGGTGGGCCCATGGCCCAGCCCAAGTCAGTCTGAGCCACACTAGCAGCCATCACTGCTCCATTCATGTAAGCAACATCTCTAAGCCTGCTGTATGGTGTTTGTATTTCAGAAGAACACAGGGTGGGATCTTAGGCAAGCAGTACCCCACAGCCCTCCTTCCCACTGACGAGGGGGCCCAGGTCACGGAGGAAAGCACAACAGAGCTTGTTCCCACTGTGTCCAGTGTGGTCCAGGGATGTCTGGCAGCAGGGTCAGTGGGGCTGAGTGTGGTGTTTCCCCGGAAAAGGAAAGTACAAGTGTTCAGTGGACCAAGGCTGACAGGACAAAAAGACTCAAGCTTTCCAAGGCCCCTGGAAATGCACCTCATCCCTTGGATACTTCCTGGGAGCAGAGGCAGGGGTCAAGACAAGCACACATGACCACCAAGACAGAGGATGGTCAAGGACAGAGTCGCTCACAAAGAGGCCAAGGAGGTGATCACAGCAAGCAGCAGTCAGGCCCACGTGAGCATTGCATGTGTGTATGTATGTGTGCGCGCGTGTGACATGAGCATCTTTGGACACATCAGCCTCGGCACATTGCTCAGTAGCAGATGGTGGTGGAGAAACGCTTGGCTCCACAAGGTCACAGGCTCTGGGCAAGGTACGCAGCGTGCCCAGGAGGCCCAAGGCCCCTGCCTGGCACACACACACCAGCATTCTGCCTGCAGCTGCTCCCCGCAGACTGCTGCTGCCTCGGGGTCCAGGCAAAATCTAAACAGGCAGAGCCTGAATGCTGGGGCAGAGACACACAGCCAGCTGCCTCCGCACACACTGGCAGGCCCTCACCTGGCCTCAGCCAAGATGAGATGCAAGCGTGGCGGCAACGTGCTACCACCAAGGAGAGCAGCTCTTGAGAACTCCACCACTGCCGCACCTCAGCATACTCTCCAGCCAGTCCCTCAGGAGCAGTCTTGCACATGCTCAGGAGCAGACCAGCTCCCCTCTCTGCCCTCCAGACACCACACACACCAGGCAAGTCCCCTAGTCACAGGCACGCACACGTGCGCACACACACACACACACCATGTCATCCTCACCTGCCGGAGTCGGCCTTGAAGAAGGAAGCAGGGCAGGGCACCCAGGGCAGATGCAAAGCCACAGCGAACCATCTCCTCCGGGCTCTGGAGCTCGACAAGGTACCTCGGGATGAGCACCTCTACAGACAGGAAGCGGGTATGAGAGAGGGACACACAAGCAGGACAGTGCCCAAGGAGGATGGCAGTGCTTCCGGCTTCTGAGGAGACACGCCTCCAAGGTGACACACACCCAAGATGTACCCAAGAACTTTGACAAAGTGTGTGAAGACTTCTGTGAGGTTTTAGCCATCACTTCCTTCTTGGGAAAATGAACAAAGGAAAGGTCCCCTGCCTGGGTAGAGCAGATCTGCTTGATGCTGACCCCGAGGACACTGGGACAGGGACACAATTGTGAGCGGGATGGGCCAGGAAGACAGTGGTGCACAGTGCCCAGTGCTGAGAGCAGAGGCTAGGGAAAGGCCAGTGGTAAGCAACAAGCACAGGCAGAAAGAGGACCGCTGACTGTGAGCATGGGGCTCAGGGCCAGTGAGGGAAAACTGAGGGGAGTGAGCCACAAGCTCTTCCTGAAAACACAGCTCAGGTGCAGGCAGGCTGGCATCCCACAGGGACCCCAACTGCAAGGGCCCAGACCCCTTCCCCCCACTCTGCTGCACAGGAAGGCTCCTGGGAGGCATACAGGCACACCTGGGTGTCTGCTGTCCACAGGTGGTGGGGAAAAACACCAGATGCTAATTTACATGCACACTGAAATATATTCACTCTGAAACCATGACAAACCTCCCACAACCTCTAATTACGTCAATTTCACAGTCAATAGGGAATTTCAAAATATCATTTCTTTAATTTTTAGGAATCAGACGTGGTCCTCTCTTCTTACTAGTCTACTCTTTTAAAAAATAAATACAAAATAATATTATATAATATTACCTGCTGAAAACAACAGTGTAAAATACACACATGTATGTCAGAGCTCAGATTAAAGACGATTTGTTTTTTCCTGCACGTGACTGCTTACATATGTATAATTTTAGTGTTTTAAATACTTCTGACATGATTGTAATGCAAGTCCTATAATATAATAAATATTATACAGTAGGCCAGCAGAGCATGGGAATGTTTTTTAATCTAACGAATAGCACCTGTGAACTCGCTCCTATAGCCCAGACATCAGAAATCAATCCCACATCACACAGGTCAGATCCGGGCTGTGCATAGGGTATCCAGGCTCGGGGAAGATGAACACAGGAGGACACCTTACTCTAACCTGGCAGGGAGGACAGAAGAGCAGTGTGCCCTGGCAGCTCAATGTCACCAGCACATGACGTGGACACAGCCTGCAGAGGAGGCATGTGCGGCACTGGGCGTGTGGCCAAAGGCCAAGGGGAGTGGACAGTAGGGCGGTGTCAACACTGTGACAGACTACAGGGTTGAGCATAGCGGTACCAGGAAGCCACCAAAGGCAGAAGCACAGAGGTGACAAATGAAATGGGAGGAGGAGGCTGAAGAAGAGAGAGTGCAAGAACAAGAAGACCCATAAGGAGCTCCAGAGGCATGAAAGGAATCTCCTACGACAAAAACTGGATATAAGTTCACTTATAAAGATAGTTTACAAAAGCACAGAAAACATGGGCCACTGTGCCGTGGGATGGCACTGCCATGTTCCAGGATGTCTGTCTGGCACTATCACCCACAGCATGAGACCTCGGCAAGCAGCCTGGCCCTGCAGGACCCATGGGGACACAGTGTGGCCAGCTTCTTCCCACCCTACCAGCACTGGGCACCTGGTGTGGCCCCAGATCAGCTCCGCCACAGCTGGGCCACCAACAGGTCTGCCACCCACTTCTGGCCCCATCTCCCTGGCTCTGTCCTCAGCAGCTAGAGCGGTGGTCACTCACCTTGGATGGCGGGACTGGCCTCCCGGGGCTCTTTCTGGTAGTACTCACTGCAGACAGCAGCCAGGGCTGACACGGCTGTATCCTAGACAGGAGAACATGAGTGCACAAGGCTCTAAAACCACACTGGAGAAACTCACATGAGTCACACTGCCCCCGAAGCATGTCTGCTCTGATATGCAGGCCACCATGCCCACACCCGCACACTGGACAGGGAGCCCACCCTCCAACCTGGCACTCTTCCTGGTAGAAGCAGTGGTGCAGGATGACACACACTGTTAAAGGGGCGAGAGCTCAAGGTCGTACTGCATGTGATATATTCAGAGGACAGTGGTATCCAGCGGGTGTGAGGAACACAAGTGGGTGGTAGGTGAGGAAGACCAGGCCACACAGCACAGGTCCCACAGAGCCCAATCCCAAAGCCACCATGGAGCAGGCAATGCTGCACCGCAGTAGTAGGAGCTGACAGTGGCATCTCCTTGGACCTTAAGATGCACCAGTCGGGAAGGACCAGACTCTCAATTCCAGCCTCCCATGACGACAGCCACACCCCGAAACATAGTTCTTTCTTCTTCCCCTCACAGCCAGGGGCCAGGGCCACCACAGCAGCCTGGGCAGACCCAGTGGGAGCCTCATCCAGGGGGGCACATCACAGAGATGTCTCTTGTATGGACTTAGAAGCAAACAGTACCAAGAGCAGTACAGTGTGAATCAATCACAGTTATTTGTAGAAAGGAAATATGGAGGTACTGTTGCCCAAATCCATCCAGCAAGACTATGATCATACAGGATGATAAAGTGATGGCCTGATAAACCAGCCAGTTTTGGTGGTTCACCTGGAGGCAGGAGGATTCCAGGTCCAACTCCAGCCTGGGCAAATCAGTGAGACTCTGTGTCAAAATAAAAAATGGACTGGGCAAAAAAATTTTAAAGGCCCTGGGTTCAATCCTTAGTACCAAAAATAAATAAAACAAGAAAGTGGAAGACACACCCTAGTGGCCCAGGGAGGCTGACACGGGGCAGGACAAAAGAGGACCGACTGACCATTCCTGGTGTTACCCTCTCATGGCTCACCCAACCCCATGGAGTGACTGCTCTTAGGGAGGCTGACCCAGGACTGCGGCTCTGCCTTCACCCAGGCACATCATAAATGGATAGTTAGTTCCAAAGACAAACCCCCTGCTCAGACTCTGCCTGAGCAGACATTCCCCTTAGCGCAAAGGGAAGCATTTTAAGGTGAGTGTAACTCTAAAGCCAGAAGCAACACAAGAAGACATCTGGGGCTTTCTCGGCCATGCCAAGTCTCCCAGTTAAGAGTCAGGTGCACAGTACCATCTGGGTGTGGGGATGGGGTCTGCCATGCTGAGCCAAGACCTATGATGTGCACACCCTCTGAGATGCTCCCTAGCATGCATGCTGTGCACCCAGGGGCCGCCTCACACACCTTTATCCGCTGTCTGGACTGGCTTGAGACAAGGTGGAGATTTCTCAGCGTGTCATCTATCAGCCACTGCCAGCCATCTAGGGAGGAAACAGACTCTGCTCAGCCAGCTCAGGACATCGAGTAAAATGCACACAGCAAACACCCAGCTGACGCTTTTGGTGTCGTCAGCGGCTCCAGTGACTCTGAGAAGCCCGCCAAGCACCTTGTGGGCACCAGAGCACCGCAGAGCCAGGCCACGGGGCTGAGACACTGTCAGGCTGGGCTGCACATAGCGATGCTGGCCCCAGAACCAGGGTCTCAGCATCAGGCTCTGGCAACACAGCCACCACCAGAAGCTTCAAGTGGCCTCTTCCTTTCAGTCTCCCTCAGTCTTCTGCCCCTACCAACAGAAGCCCAAATATTCAGCTCAACTCCATTCACAACTAAGTTGGAAAGTACTCTTAAAACAGAAAATGAGTGTCTGGATACCAGCAGGCAAGCAGGCCTCGGAGGAGGACAGAGGCCCTGGGTGGTGCCAGTTCTGGCACAGGAGGCATGAAGGCCTCTAGCATGTCACCTGCCCTCTAGGAGACAGGACTGACCATGCAGGCCCAGCCATGGGCACGCAGCCAGAGCACCGTCACCGTGAACACTGAGGACAGTTGGGCTGGGGCTCCGGAGGTAGGCAGGAGCCCACAGCAAGTCGAGAAGAGGGGTCCCTTCCCAACGCAGGCTCTTCACCTGACCCAGAAGCTCATCTCCTACATTGGGCTGAAGCGGCTATAAGGGAAACTGCCGCCATGGCGTCCTGGGGAGAAAAGACTCACCGATGACAGGGTCACCTTTGAAAGGCATTCTGGAGAGGGTCAGTTTCTCTATCAGGACACACACTAGGAAAAAGGGGAAATATCACATCACTGCCCTGAGAGTGCTCCTCGCCCTGTGACCTCCCTGAGCTGCAGCCACACACGCTCCCTCCCTTTAGCTCACTAGCTACCCTGTGGCAACTCGTTGCTCCTCAGCTGGGCAGCAGCACGATATTCGGCACCGGCCAGACACAGATGCCCACAGAGAGTCCCACCTGTCATGTGTCTCCATGAGCACAGTGCTGCCCTAGGCCCAGCTCAGGCCCTGGGACATGTGCTGTGGAGGGTCGCACAAGTTAGGCTTTACATGAGCCAGGCCATCGGCACAGTGACAGGAAAAAGTCACTGTGGGGAAAGTCAGACTGTCTCACAGACGGAGGACATGCTGTTCTCATAGGCAGCCACCAGAACCCACAGTGGGGGCAAGCAGGGGCCGGGGTTTGGAGGTGGTGGGAAAGGGACACTCAAGTCCGAAGAGCAGCGGGTACCCAGGGTCCAGGCTGGAAGACAGGGGGTGGCCAGGGGCAGGACAGAGGCAGCCAGCCCCCTGTGGAGAACACAGCAGGGAAGCGGACAGCTCTCAAGCTCAGTTCCTGAGCAGTTCTGAGGTAAGGCATGGTGAGTCCTGACCACCCGTGTGTACTGTCACCAGGGATTGAAGAAGTGACCACAACACCTGCAGGAAGGGCAGGCCAGCACGGGAACACAGGACATAGCAAAAGCTCCCAGATGCAGTCTGAGGAAAAGGCCCTCCCATCTGGTGGGGAGTCTGGTAGGAAAGCCCACAGCTTGGAGTAGGGCTCTCCCTAACCTTGGATCTCCCCAGCTTTCCCCAGGGCCTGATGCAGAGATGCCCATACCCACCCTGTCCCCTGCCTAGAAAAATCACCTGGCAGTAAACAAAGCATAGGGAGCGCCAGGTTTCCTTCTTTTACGGTAACAGAGTCATTGCCAGTCAGCGGGGCTGACCAGGATGCGAACCGGGACACAGTGCTTGGCACAATGGCCAGCACAGGGTGAGCTGGCACACACCCCTTGGGCAGCCCCCAACACCAACACTGCACAGAAATGCCACGCTGCTGAGACTCTCCTAGGTGCTCCTTAGGTTCCTGTACCCTGGCCCACAGAACCTGTGGTCCTGGACACACACCACCAAGGCTTCCTTCTTCCTGGGCTAGTGATAGCCACTGTCCACTAGAGGGGCCGCGCAGGAACCCACAGGGCACCCTGGGAATAATACTGACCCCCTCACAGCTCACAGCTACGTGACCTGAGCTGGCAGGAAAGCAGAGGCCCCTGGACGGAACTGGCAGCTTCGGTAGTGCCCATTTCTCCAGTCCCCTCTTCCCCCATTATCAATGACACAACCAAGGGACATCTCACAAGCCCTCTCAACAGATGTGTGGCATTCTGCTGGATGGAAAGCACTTTACTCAGAATTTCTTCTGAACTTCCCATTTCTGACACTGTAAACAAATGGCTGTAAGCAGTGTGTGGACCACAGGGCCCCATCACTTTTGGAGCACTGTCCCCGCAGGTTATAACCAATTCTGTAGGTACAAAAGGAGAAGAACTCCAGCCTTCAGGGTCCACACTATCCACAGCCCCTGGAAAGTGCATCTTGCCATCCTCCCCAGCCCCGTCAGCAGCTGCCCACCCTAGGCTGCCGGGCCTCACACCTAGGCACAGCTCCTCTCCTCCGGCTTGCTCTCTCACAGTAACAGCCCATGGCGGGCAGCCTTACCTTTTACTGGCAATTCCAGGAGGTCTTTCAACAGCAGTACCAACACTTCAGTACATGTTTGGCTTAATAACATCACATATCGCACACTCTTCCACATCTAGGCATGCGTAACTTTCTTTCTGTGTCTGGTTGTAGACTACTGTTAATGCAGTTATGTGGTATGGGCCAAAAGCCACAAACACAACACAAGGCCCTTGTTACTGTTGGGGAGCACATTCACTGCAGAGGCAGCTATGACAGAGGTGTAGACCTTGCACCCAGGCCAGAGAGGGACACTGCACCATTGTGTCTTCGCTTTTACGCAGATCTGAGATATTCTAAACTGAAACCTTTTTCAAGGAATAATGTCCCCAAAACTGTCTGAAGATTTCTGTTCTCAGTGGATCACGTGCAGTGTCACTGCTGCATAGCAGGGACAGTTTCATCTTCCAGTGGTCCACTCGCTCACCGAGTGACACTGTCACCCAGACCAGAGATGCCTCTGATGCAGGCACTGGCTACGGCTTCCCTGGGTCTGCTCTTTCAGTCTGCTCCCTGTTCCTAGGAAAACAGCATGCTGTTTCAAATGGAATTGTTTTAAGAGTATATTTTAAGGGCTAGAAAATGCAAGGCTCCACTCTTTTAAAATTTTATCCTAGAAATATGAACTTGAATGCATTTTTATCAAGGTAACAAAGGGAGGAAAAGCACATGAAAAGACGTTCACAACTGCAAATAACATGTTCTGCAAGACAAGAAAACATTCTAATAAATTAGAACTTGACAGATGAGTGGTGTCTTGCAGTACACAATGCCAAATGCCACGTGATCACAACTGAGCCAGCTGCCTCCCTGTTCTGCCCTCTCCTCCCCGACCCCACTCACTGCAGGGTTGTGGGTGATCTTCTCTCAAAGCAAAAAGTTACAGAGCAGTCTCCTCTGCAGAGGAGGAGACAAAGGTGGACGAGTCCTTGACTTTAAATCAGATTAGCGAGATACGGAAAATGTGGGAAAGGCAGAGAAGCAACACCCAAAAAGGCTGCACCAGTGCAAGAAAGCTGTTTAACAACAACGCAATGTCACGTTTCTGAAAAATTCTCAAAAGGAGGCAAAAGCAAGTGTCACTGGACAGGTTCCTGTCACAGTTGCATGAAAAGACAAAGACTCCACTGAGCTGGCAGCCAGCAATGGTTCTGTTAGGGACAGTGAAAGTCGTTCCAAACAATAACCCTCCTCTTGTCTCACTCACACCATCGAGGAAGGTTTGCAAGATAAGCACAGGTTAATTTGTTTTTCTTTATATTTTGTATTTTATTATTTTATATTCAGTATTACAGTCATTTTTATATGAATATTTTAGATTGTGGAATGAGTCATCTGAGTTTCCATTACTTTCTATGGAGAAATTTGCTGTGATATACAAGTGCTTTGAATTACAGGCATGTTTCTGGAACAAATTATCTCGCAAACCAAGGTTTCACTATACACATGAAATGCGAATGTCACCACAGGCCTATTCCAACAGCTGGGATTTCAGCAGTGCTGATGCCGACATCAAACCCGAGTGAAGACCTGGAAACATGCAGCTCACAGCTGCGTATCAGGTATGGCACATTTTTGCATTCTCTTAGAGTGGACAGGGAGACAACTCAGCCAAGGATCCCAGCACAGTCTTCCTTGAGATGAGAAAAGCTAGGACCACACAAACCTGTGCAGAAGTACTGGTGCCCTACTGCCCACAGCAAAGCTGGCAACAGGCTGACGGGTAGATGGTCAGACACACTATTGATAAAAGGAGGAAAATATCAAGGGTCACATGTTCACAGAAAGCCCAGCTCATGAGACCCCAGCAAGAGTCCACCTGCACAGCTCTAAGAACAGCAGCAAGGGCGGGCAGAGCAGTAGTTGCTGGGACAAAGAGGGGTGGCGGCTGGTATCTCTGACACAAATGGACACAAGGCCTAAGGTTGTGCAGAACTAGAATCGTGCCTGCTCCGACCATGTGGGAGCCTGAGGAGACTGAGGAAGGCCAAGAGTGCGGTCAGACAAGTGACACCAGAGTCACAGCCTGGCCAGGACACCGTGCAGTCACAAAAGAGGTTACCACAGGGAAGCTAAGTCAAAGACACATAGTTCTAACCCTAACTGTGTCAACTGCTGTGAGTCTATAGTTATTCAAAATGAAAAAATAAATTGTGTGTAAAGTAACAGACAAGTAATTCCAATCAACCTTCCATCTAAGACATCTTTAATGATGGAACCTGGGCCTGCAGTAAAAGATCTCACTTGTGGCTTGGATTGACAATAGAAATGCGCAGGGGCAGAGGCAACCAGAGTACACAGAGGTATGGATGTTGCCCTAGAGAGGAGCACGCTGCCACCACCTCTAGCACACTGCTCTCCAGCCCTTAGAAACAACACAGTTATGCTGTGTGGGACAGCTAAGCAAAGGTTTCAAATCATGCTCAGCACGCTCAAGAGGGTACGAGAAATGGCTGAAAACCACACAGGGACACAGGAGCCAGAAAGAAAGGCAATGACAATCTGAAGGATAAAACACCAAAATTCAGAATTTATAAATGGGGTTTTCTGCGTAGGGGAGTTCTTTAGCTTTGTTTTTAAGATAGGGTCCTGCTAAGCTGTCCAGCTGGGCTACCCAAAGGGGAGACCTGATAGATGGGCTTAAAAGCAGGTAAGAGACAGCTGAAGAGAAAATTAATGATAATGGAACACAGATCAGAAGAAAAATTCGGACTGAATCTTACACATAAGCAAGAAGAGTATATGATACAGCCTATGAAAGAGGCCAGCATGGAAGACTAATGTTCCAAAAGGAGAGGAGAAACAGAAAAGCAGGACGTGAGGGAAGGGCTGGAAAGGTCCCCAAGCGACCAAAATATCTCTAAACAACTACAGATTCCAGGCCTATCATGACCCGCCAGAGCTGTAACTGCTAAAAACCAGAGATAAAAACCAACTTACTAATGAGACCAAGGAAGCAGACTCCCAGTGGAGCAGTACAGGTACCAGCAGCCACCTCTCCACAAACCCAGAAACGAGCCTGGGCTAGGAGACATCACTCTGAAAGGTGACGAATATGGACTACAGCTCCAGCCATAGAGGCCCCCGCAGGTGAAGGTGGAAAAGGGGATCCTGTAGCATCCCTGCAGCATCTGTCCTTCAGGCAGGACAGAAACGCCCAATGGTGGCCTCAGCACATCCTGCCCAGGGAGCCTCCCAGCAAAGCAGGGGACGCAGGAGCAGTGGCCACCCTCAGGGCAAATACCTCAGGCCTAGAGGGCAGATGATGCCATGCTTTGGTGACAGTAAAGGTGCCTTTTATACATCTCTGGACCAAACCAGAGGTTCTGGTCCTTAGGCGACATGATGGAGGCCATTCCTACAGGCAGAGGGTACAGGAGGCGTGGAGGATGGTGGGGTGGCCGCTGCATGGGCTGTGGGCAGTGGTGCAGTGGGCAAACTCACAGGAGGCAACCCGATGGCACTGCACTAGGCCCTGAGCATACATGTGCCCATGCTTGTGCCACCACTGCCTGCCCCAAGACAGTGACCACCTGGTTCCTAACAGACAGTTGGCGTGGCCATGCAGTGGAGCCTGGCAGTCCAAGCCACAGCATATACTACAGTGACAGGAGATGCAAGGACATAAGAGACACTTATCTCCTGGTGTGAAAGTCACTGCTGCTGAGGCAGAAAGATTAGGCTTCCAAGCAGTTACACAGTCTGACCCCAGCTGGGTTCCGCAGTCATGGCCCAGGGACAGCACGCGAGTCTTGCCTTCAGAAAGCCCAACCTGGGCCCTGAGCTGGCTTGGGGGAGGAGGCAAAAATCTGGCTTCCTTCACCACAACCCACCCACAGCTCACCATCACACAGATGGGGACATGGACTAAGGCCATCCTGTAGCAGTGCAGGACAGGGCATCAGGAGCGCGGTCAGCGAAGGCCAGCCCTCCCACTGTCAGGCTGCAGCTTCCCCAGGAAGGCCAGCCTGAAATGAGCGTGTGCGTCAACACTGCATCTGGACAAGCTATGTGCATCCCTCCTCCCACTCCACAGCAGCCTCTGCAGATGAAGCAGCTCAACCATGCTGAGCCCACAGGCAACAAGGCTCCACAGCCTTCCCTGGGCCTCAGAACCCCAAAAGCAGCTCCCAGCCAGATTTTTGCCTCCTCCCCCAAGCCAGCTCAGGGCCCAGGTTGGGCTTTCTGAAGGCAAGACTCGCGTGCTGTCCCTGGGCCATGACTGCGGAACCCAAAGGTGAAGCCTGCCACAGCTACTACTGGCCTCAGTCGCCTCTGCCTTGTAGGGGCCCTGCATCCTACTCCCAAGTCCCAGGGGCTTCACGGTGGCTCCAGGGCACACCTCCAGTGTGGGAGTGCTTCTCCTCCAGCCTGGAAGCCACACCCACCTTGCCATGCACTGCACCGTGTGCCCTGCCAGGCTCCACACAGGCCCACATGGCACCACGGGTACTACTGCTCACGCCAGTCCTGGGAGCCCTCGGTTCCACCTTCTGGGTGGCAGGCTTTCCACCCAACACCAGGTCCTGCAAGGCTGATGATGCCAGACCCTGTCCCACCTATGCCCAGGCTCCACACAACCCTATGCTACCAAGAGACAACTTGGGACTCACAGCAGCCCTGCTGGGGGTTGCCAAGGGACACAAGGAACACTCAGAAGGACGTCCCCTAGGTGTAGCTTCTGAGCCAGCACAACAGGCCACAGGGCAGCATGGCCAGCACAGGAGCTGCTACGGCACTGAAGGCTCTAACACCCCACAAAGGCCATGCCTGGAGCACTAAGGGCTTCCACTAACCAGGACCTTCTCCCCAGCCCCCAGGGTAGCTCAGTGTACCTGTGCAGCCTTCCCTGATCAGGCACCTGGGAGCATTCCTGAGAAGCATCAACAACCAAACAGGCTTCAGGGAATCTAGATATCCACCTGCTGGTATCACGTGAGCTCCTAGCAGATAACATAAAACTCTACTCCAGAAGTCCTTCTCTGTACTACAGCTATTTTAAGCTCTACTAGAGAAAAAGGGAGGAAGACTCCACAGATCTCGTCATCTCAGTGAGAGATGGGGCACCTCTGCTCACCTTACCCAGAGCATTCACCCAGCTATTCCAGTGTGTCAGACTGGGCAGAGAACTCAGGTACACACACCAGCAGCATGGGGAGCTAGTCACACAAGAGTATGGGACCTTCAGGCCACAAGAGAGCCCTGCCCAAAATGTCACTGTGTTAGAGGAGTGACGTCAGAGCCACAGGATCTCTCTCCTCCAAGGCTGGAGTGAAGGCCCTCCGACCTACCTGCTTGTCTCATGAGTTCTCCTCCAAGGCCCCTGAAAAACCAATGAGAATGTATAGGGTTAAAACTCTCAGTCCATGAAGCCACAAGAAACATCTTTATCAAGTACTTTGGGTGCCAAGAAACACTAGAGCCCTGGTGGCGAACCTACAGTATGTACTTTTTTTTTTTTTTTTTTTTGAGATAAAAGATGTTATGTATGAGTTGATTTGCTAAACTAAAACCTCAGTATTCAGGTTAAATTGCAGTGTTGGCACTTGGCAATAAATAAGTGGGTTTGGGGTTGCAGTTTGGTCTCTCTCAAAGATTTACCATCACTGCATTACATAAAGTATTAACGAGCTGAACTCATTCCTCAAATATGGACTACCTTTGCGGAAAGGCATGAGATGCTGTGAGACTCACTTCTGTGGTCTCTGTTGTGGTGGGCTGATTTGACTCTGCCTTTCTGTGAGACCCCGTAAATAGTGCAGGCACCAACCATTGTGCATGGCACAGTTCAACCTTTGCCACAAGGGCATCAGAAAGACCACCACGCAGTCCACAGGAGACCACTAATATTCTGCCACAAGCAAGCTGAAGGCAGGTCAGTCTGTCCTTCAAGGCAGCAAGGTCTGGATTTGCCTACTGCCTCACACAGTTACAACACTAGATAAAATACGTGTGAGAGACAAGATCAGGGCAGAAGACATGGACCAAGGCACTCCAACACTGAGGAGGCCGAGGGGAAGCTTTCAGGTACACTGTGCGTGTGAAGCTCCAGCAAGGCCCAGCTGTCATACTCAACTGTGAATAAAACAGAAGCAGGCAAGGCCATGTGAATGGAATAGAGGGCAGTGTGATCTGCGGCTGACATCAAGGAAGGGCCTGTGCTGGCCTGCAAGAAGACAGGGGATAAGGCAGACCAATTCTTGGAGCCCACCTGGGCCAGAAACAGATGTCAGCCAGAAGCACTAGCCTCAGTGTGCATGGGATACCAGGCTGGACTCCCAAAGAGCTCCTCAGTACCAGGGATTCTGCTCCAGACATACTCAGCAAGGCCCCAGAGCAAGCTTGAAGGACCCAAACGTAACAGAAACCAAGCCATTGTTACTGAAAGAATACAACCATCTTGCAATGTGTGTAAGTCAGTGATTCAGAAAGCTGAAAAAGAGGGGCCACAAGTTCAAAGCCAGAGACACTCTCAAAACAGAGGAGGAGGAGGAAGAGGGGTAGGGGAGGGGAGGAAAGAGGAAGGGGGAGGGAGAAGAAGGACAAAGAGGAGGAAGAAAAGGAAGATAAGGAGAAGAGGAAGAAGGAGAAGAGGAAGAAGAAAAGAAGAGGAGGAAGAAGAAAAAGAGAAGAAACAAAAAAAGAAGTGTAACAAAACCCAGTTTCAGTCATGTGAATTTCACAAAATGCAAATCCAATAGAGAATTTTCAAGAAGACATGAATAACATGACCACAGTGGAAACAATCGATGAAACGAAGCCCAGCAAGGCCCACACTGGGGAAGTATGCACGCAAATGCTGCACGACAGCCACCCCCTCTCCACAGGTCCACAGAGGCAGGGTAACGGGGTGAAGAGAAGAAGCATAAAAAACACACATGGGGAACTTCCAGATCTTTTTAAAAAATACAATCTGAAACGAAAAATTTTGCTAAATGTAATTAACATCAGATTAGAAAGAGAATAAAATTTTGAATTTCAGGGACAGAAAGCAGATACTGTAGGGAGATACAAACTATCTAGAAATAAGTTTTGTTATGTGCAAATTATTACTCAGAAGTTTTAAATTAATCTACCAGGCAGCAACAGCAGAATGAAGACCTCCCATTTCTCCTCCACCAGTGTGTGGGCAAGTGAGGAGGGAACCTAGGCTCTGGGGAGTGCACACCCAAGGGAGAGTGCTCGGGACCATGCCTGCCTCTCCCAAGCCTCTCGCACTGAGTCTCCTGTTGCAGACCTAGAGCAACCCCCAACACTGCTCAGAAATACCCTGCCAGCCCAAACAGCCATGCATGGAGGTGCCGATGCCCATAAGGAGCCTATGGTTCTGTTCAGAGAGCGCAGTGCCTGCTTTAGACACACAAGGCTACCACAGACTCCACTGCCCCACCTCCTCAGGAAAGTCAAATTACTCCTCCATGGTGCTTCCGTTCTGTGCTGCACACGTGCCAGAAAACAATTAAGAAATTTTACTCAAACCTGCACAGGGTTCAGGAGAAGGCTGGGACAAAAGCAGGAATGGAACAAGTTTCAGAAGACCTCATTAGAAAGAAATGCTGCTGGTAAGGGAATTGTGAGGTGACGACAGCCAGGCCTGACAGGCCACAAGAACCAGGGCAAGCACTACCATCTGGCTGTCCATCCACCACAGCAAGAGAAGCAAACATGGGCAGACTCAGCATCCGATGCAGAGCTTGGGTCAGGACCCGCCAGGAGCTGTGATAGCTCAGGAAGATTCACACAAGGAGCACTTAAATGAACCAAGGTCTGAACAGCCATCTTGCCAGAGGTCACAGGGACATGCAAGCTACAGGGTGCCATAGAGGTAGCTCCAGCTGCCTGGGAAAGGGCACAGCACACAGCACATGGAGTAGATCAGCCCAGGAGCAGTGTGTGGGAATCTCATACAATGAGTTCCAGCTAAGACAGCCTGGAAAGGCTCTAGCTGTATGATCCCACTGATGTGGAACGACAGACACAGACAGGCAGAACACAAAAAAGCACAAGGTCCATGACCTCCAGGCCAAGGACTCTCACAACCTTGACCCTCAAACTAAGTGATCAAACCTCTTCAAACAAAGTAAACAGAGGGCACAAAGGCCAGGATGGCACCAAACTGAGCCTGGACTCAGCTATGCCAAGCTATGCCAAGCACAGCATGGCACAGCACAGCAGCTGGGGCCCATGGTTTGGCATGGGGTCCAGCACAGGAGAACATCAGCCTACAGAGCTTACCTGTACAGGTGCCGGTCAGAAAGCTATAAACAAAGAATGGGGAGTTAGTATTCAGACAGTTAGGATTTCTAAAGTAACAGTCTCTAGATAACACCCATGAGCATCCACGGACAGTGGATGACGGAATGACAGAACTGGATGCTGAGACCCTCTCTCCTGGGCCCCCAGAGAGTTCTCCAGATGGGTCATCTCAGGGGGGAAACTGGGACACAGAGAGACCAGAGCCAGGACCAACTCTGCACCGCCTCCATGGAGCCAAGTATACCAGGGGACTCCACTGATGCTCTTTCTTCAGAGGAACTAAAAAGCACTGTATAACACTGTCACTACACTGCAGCTCAAAACTGAAGGCGGTAACCCTGTTAACGACTTACTTCACAGAAACAGGACAACCCTTGCTGGGAGGACTGAGCAGCCTCCTTTCTCAGCTGCTGCATGGGACTAACCCCACCGTGAGACGAGACAAAGACACGGGAACCCTCCAGGCAACACTGGCAAACTGGACAATGGTTTTGCCACAGCCATAAAGTTAACAGCATGAACAGGACAAAGACGAGAGGTTAAGTGAGCATCAATATATATGGAGCCGCAAGTCTTAAAGAATAGAAAACTTGCCTGGTGTCGTGGCATATGCCTATAATCCCAGTATACTGGGAGGCTAAGGCAGGAGAATCTCCAGGTCAAGGCCTGGAACATAGTGAAACTCTAACAACAAAACAAGATTCAGAAGTTCTATTTGGTCCAGAATGAGTGAAACTATTTCAATCCTTAGGAATTATTTTGAAATTTTCCTGTTACTAGATTGGCAGTTCATATTTTTCCTTGAGGCACTGAAGGTGTTGAGAAACTCAGAAAATAACACACACCTTCTCCCAAAAGAAATGTACACACACAATTCTGGATTTAACTGCAGGAGACTTGATCCCCACTTGTGGTTGCACGGTGGAAAGGGCGTTTGTGTCTGGAAACCCTCCCTTCCCCAGCCCACAGGTCTGCTCCTCTGTGGGACACCTTGAGCACCCAAGCCAGAGTGCAGTACAGCTCTCCTACGGCCCTCTGGCTGCATCAGGCCATCAATAGGGCTACTTGGTCTCACAGGGAAGAGGCTTGCACCCACCTCCCTTCCCATCTAGATACTTCTGGCTGCAGTGTGTGCCAAGGGAGAGGCCCCCACCACACTGCCATGGAGCTGGGTCACCCTGCTGTGCCCCAAGGCTGAAGGTGCACAGCAGCCACTGGGGACGAGAAACGTGGAGGCTCCATGAAGGGGCATGCATGGGAAGATCACACACAAACCTGTTGATGGATCTGCCTCAGGCCCTGCACCATCTTCTCATCCAGGTAGTCTGTGATGGGCCTGCAGAGGGTAAAATGCAATACCAAGGTCACAGGCCAAAGGGACACAACCTCCAAGTCCCAGGCACACCAAGGAGCAGAAAGGTCTGCTTGCCCAGATCCCTCTGGCCCCACACGCTTCTGAGTCAGCTCACAGCAGACAGGCATCTGGGTGCTCCTGTGAGCTCTGACTGTGACCTTGGACCAGGATGCATCCCACCAGTGCCCAACTCAACAGAAACAAGTCCCCATAGGCTGGGAGAAGAACCACACACAGACTGTGTGCTCAGGGCTCCCTCAGGAGCGGCTGCTGGTGCACTTGCGTTCCTCCTGAAGCCTGTGACCTTCCCATGCCACCAGACCCAGGGAGCTCCCCAGCTTCCCTGTGTCATCACCAGGGAGCAACATGTGCCGGTGACACTGCCATGAGCTTCCTCTCACACATGGTCACAAGGCTCCCCATACTATGCCCACTTCAACCCACAGTGGCAAAGCCATGCACTGTGCTCTGCGCTGGTCTATGGGACATGGTGACCTGGAGTTCCTCTCAACCTGAAGGCCAGGAGCCAGGTCACAGGCAGCACAGTGTGACCCTGAGCTCTGTGAAAGGGCCCCACTGGAAAGTAAGAGAAGGAAGCAGCTCTTAGAACACTGGTCCCATTGGGCCACCATAGTCTGGGGATGGCTTCACCATTATTCCTACCAACACAGCTATCCAGGAAGAGAAAGTCCCCATCCTACATGCTCTAGTACCATAGGTCATTAGAAGTGAGAAATAGGGAGGATGCAGAGCACGTGAGCTTTCCAGATACCTCTCATCAGGCACCCTGGCTCTCATCATCCCATTCCTCTCCACCCAGCTGCTCGGTGAGGCGAGACACAGGACACCACACAGCCCCCACTGCAGGCTGCGTGGGTGGTCCTGGCACTGGTGAGCCTTACAGGAAACGTGGGAACGACAAACCACAACCCTTCCTGTATCGGGGATCACGGTAACCCTGCAGCCACCCACATCCAAGATCACCTCAACCCCACAGCCTGCCACAGAGCAGTGGGGGCAGTATCCCCTACCTGTCCTTCTGTGCTGCCAGCTTGCACAAGGCGTAGGTGACCTCTGCGCAGGCAAGAATGGCACCGTGTCGCGTGTGCAGATCTGGACTCAGCGTCATTGACAGCAGGGCAGGGAGCACTGCAAAACCCTCATCTGAGTTGGATGCTTATGCCATTTGAACACACAAGATGGAACAAGCACAGAGTCTTCCCCAGGTGAAAGAAGCAAAGGCAGACAACGCCATGGTTCCCTGAAGTGGCTGTCACTAAGGCAGACTCTGAGTCTAAGACCAAGCCAGTCTCCAGACATGGACAGACTTGCTGGCTTGCCTGTTCAGCGGCCTGGGAACTGCCGTGGCTCCTATGTCTGCATCTCTCATCCTGCGCAGGCACCTCTGAAACACTCCCAGAGACACACCTCATCCACTACATGCCATCTCCAAGTAAGTCCAGCAACAGCAGAACAGGATGTCCCCTTCAGCCCATGTCTCTGTTGTGTGTGCATGTGTGGACCTGGGTGTGCAACAGGGGGCTGAAGGTCAGCAGACACACCTACCGTGTGTGGCGAAGTACTCAGGCGCCCATGGGGCCAGCCGGTGCAGTGCCTTTGCTGACAGTTCTCGGATAACCCTGGGCAGGAGAAAAGACATGAAAAGAGGCATCTGTGTGCCACATTCACAACAGCAGGAGGCAGAAGCTGCGGATCTGCAGAAAGATGCCTGGATGAGCAAGATGTGGCAGATACACGAAGGGAATATTCTCCAGCCTCCAAAGGGCAGGAGAATATTCTCCTGCTACAGCTGGAGGACCTCTCTGACCAGCTGGCAAAACCCTGCCTGAGGCTATTCTCCTACAGGCTCTGGGTAAGGATGGTTTTTCATTTTTAAAGGAATTTATGAAGAAAAAACAGTAAAATTTGTGCAAAGGAGACCTGAGAAATTTACCAGGAGGTCCTTTAGAGAGAAGGCATTTGGCCTGCACAGCATTGAACTGCACTTAGAAATCTGACACAAGACCTGGAGGAACCCATCATGACAGGGCCAATATATTAGGAAGTCACAAAATTATAAATGTACATACATCTAATAAGAGATCTTCACCCAAAATACAAGGAGGAAACATGGACAGAAATGAACCCAAAAAATGGTAAAATGGTCAGAGTTTAGCAGCTCAAAAATTCAGTCCACACAAGGGCTGCACATGTACAATCATGACCACTGCACTGCTGGAGGGGAAGTGGCAGGGGCTCTGCCTCTGGGAATGTGCTAGACATCCAGGTGCAGGCAGCCCAGGCAGGTGCTCCCTCGAGAAGGCCACAGTCAGCCCGAGGGATCACACATCAGGTCAGAAGCTCTCAGTGCTCAGGCCACAGTGTGGCTGCTTCGTGTGGCGGCCATCAACAGATACAGGGCAGGCGTTGGTTCTCAGAGAAGCTGGAACATGCACCCCATGAACCATGAAGAAAGAACCTTCTTCACGCAGTGTGTCCCTTACAGTGAGACTCAGCTTCCTGATGGAGCTGCTCCCATGCTAGGCAGCATCTGTTGCAGAACTACACCCATGTCTTCCAAATGGCACTGATCTGCAGGCCCAGAGCAGCGCAACAGCCGCACACTCCCTGTGCGCTCTGCACTGCACCACAGCTCTCTTATGCCATTTGAACATATTTAACATATTTAACTTCCACAGCTCTCTTATGCCATTTGAACATATTTAACTTCCTATAAAATGCTAAGATGCCCTGACCAGCTGGTGTAATTACAAAAGCAGCCATGGAAGCCTGCTTAGCTCTGCAGAGACCACACAGGAGCCATGCAGTGGTGGGTGGAGCAGAATCTGCAGCCCACAGCAGCTTTAGTCCTCAGGCCATGGCCTCCTCAGGGACACAAGGACTCGGGGCATTTGCAGTGGGGAACGGCCCTACAGGCACACCCCACACCAGACCTCCCAGGGCCAGCTGGAGAGGGCCAGGGTAGAGGCTGGGACTCCACCTCTTCACTGGAGCTATTGTGAAGCATGAAAACTATAACGAGAAGACATTCACAGGTTATCAGCTCAACGCCATCTCTCCTGTGGAAGACCAGGGGCCTGAGGACCACAACGTACCTGTCCCAGTGGCTGACTTTCATGGTGAGCAGGTGGTCAATCATTGGCTGGGTGTACTCGGGGAAGCTGGCAATGGACACACTGAAAGAAACAAGACCAAAGGGCATGAGGAAGCAGAGGTAACAGAGCCCTCATACACCACACCTGAGGGGATAGAATAGAGCGGACACTTGCAGAAACGCTTTGACTATTTCTTCTAAACTAAGACATTCTACCGGGTCATCTACCATTCCCTCCCTATACAGCTAAGAGGAGGAAAGGGCTTCTTCACATGGAGCAGGCACATGGGCACAGGCAACTGCATGCATCGGCACTGCAGGGGGCACCACCCCACCACTGGGCAGATGCCACCACACAAGCCTCCAGGCAAGGTCACAGCCTCTACAGTCAAAATCAAGTGTGTATTATTTTACTTGCTTTCGCACAAAATTTTGAAGAATACAAACTCCTCCAGCAGAAGCAGATCACTGGGAACCCACAGTGACAGCATGTTCACCACCCTGGCAGCCGCCTAAGGTTTGGTGAGCATGGACTATGATGAGTAGCAAGCCAACTACTTTCTGTGCAGGTGATGTGGGGCAACTATGTTTCAGGAAAGCTGCTGAAAGTATCAAGGAAATGGAGAGGCAAGCCTTACACTGGGAAGACAGAGACTTTGGGTTACACACAAATAACAAAAACTTGTATATAAATACATAAAGAAGATAGATGAAAAACTTGCCTAGATTTTTACAGAAACATCACAAAAGAAAAACAGAAGGCCAATAAGCCATCAGCAGGGGTGAGCAAGCTGCCATAGTCAAAAATTCGGGACAATGACAGCGCTGGAAACAGGAGGCTGCAGAGCTCCAGCTGCATGCCATCATCTCTGGTACATTAAATGCGCAGACACCCCTAAGTCTTCACTTACAAGAAATGAAAACACAACCCCCACATAAAGACTTCTAAATAAATCTTCACAAGAGATAAAAACTCAGAAAAGCCTAACTACTAACCAACAGGCAAACCAACAGGGGAGTTACACGGCCACAGACAGCACACTCCACAGAACCACAGGCCACTGAACAGCACAGCTAGTCTGCCGCCCCTGTGTGGGGCAGAAGTATCAGACCTCAAAAAAGCATGTGCTCCTGACTACTTCTAGCACCCAGCGAGCAGGCAGAGTGGGTCTCTGGTGCTGGGCCGGGTAGCCTGCAGGGTAGAAGAAAACCCAGACCCCCAAGCAGGTGTAGGCCCCAGGTGTGTACCCAGTCAGCACACGCTGAGCCATTCAGCACACAACTCACCAGGCAGAGCACAAACAATGCTTGACAGTGTAAGTTAGGGGGCAGCTTCAGTGGTACATGCCTGCCAAGCACGTACCAGGCCCCAGCACTGCAGAAAAATAAACTTACATCTCTCGGAAATAATATGAGGGAGCTTCAAAACCCAAACCCCGAGTGGGTGGGCCTTCCAAATCATGACAGAATCCCAGAGCCATGAAGAATACTGACAGATTCAAACACAAATCCCCAAAGAAAGACATCTGCCAGGGAAAACACATCCAAAAAATCAAGTCAAGGCAAATAACAAACCCAGAAAAAGTATCTGCAATGGTCCTATCCAAGATTCTTTAAAGATACATGTTCTTCTGCTGAACCAACCAACAGACACTATGATCTCGAGCAAAGCCCTCACAAGCAGCTCACACCACACACTCAGCTCGAGACGGCTCACAGCTGCCTTCCTGTAAAAAAGGCACAGCAGAGGACTGTATATCTGCCCCATGGCCACTGGCCAGGGGACTAAGAGGGTCCAGAAGCACTGCTGGGCAGCCTCTGTGGACAGTGATCAGTTGAACACAGAAATATAAAGCATGAACACCCTCTGGTCGAATTCCAGTGGGTGATCCTCTCAGACATGCACAAATGCACTGCACACAGGCTAGAAAAGACTGCATGGGCCCACTGCCCTGAGAAGCCACAGAGATTGCCCTGCCTGGATGTGCAAAGGACAGGCTCCTAGATGCGGGCACAGAAAACACACACTTCAAATTCTCCACTGAGCCAAGTGTGACTCTCCAGAACAGGACACTGGGACAGGGCTGGAGATGGTAGGAGACCTGTGTGGCCCCTCCCAGCAAGCTATCAGAGCATCCATGTCACCAAAGAGCCAGGCCACACAGCATCACAGAGGCCATCTTCTCAAGCGACAATGCTGGAAGACTATGGTGAGCTATAAGACCCAGAAGAGCAGGCAGGTGACCACAGCCACACAGCACAAGGCAGGTGGTCACCAGGCCACTTGGCAGCTGGTACCCTGTCCCTAGATCCACCAGCAGCAGCACTGACCTTGGGAAAGAGTCCCACCCTCACTGGATGTCAACACACAGGGTCCTGGAGGCTAACTGTGAAACAAGGAGTGTCCACTAGGGGGCAAGGAACACGCTGAGAGGTGACACCGAGACAGTGTGAGTGGGTGTGATGTCTCATAGGTGAGAGGCTCGGCCTTCCACAAAAAAACAGCAGAGCAGTGATCCGGCTGCAGCTGCCACATCCTCCGTCACCTCCCCAGGATGACGGGGGCAATGTCTTCCCACTACTTGTGTGGCTGCTCAGAGCCTGCCCACCACGCCAACAGCCGAGGCACCCCTCTCCTGCTCTGGGCTGCGGCTGTCGGTTTTGAGGAGCAGCCAAAGACCTCACCTAATCAGTCAAAGAGGGAACAGAAGCCAGTGCTGATATCCCCCAGGCCCCTAAACTCCAATGGGCCATGATCAACTCCTTCCTGGGGACTCCTCCCAAGCAGAGCAGCCACAGTTCCAGCAAACCATTTTCATGGAAAGAGGAACTATCAATCAGGAAGCCACTCCTCCCAGGGTTCAGCTGAGCTGTCCCCACAACTTTGCCCCACTGTTTGATACACTGTGTCAACTTGAAAAATTTAGAAGTTTACCTGAGAGACTCAGCAGGAAGCCAGGTTCTTACTTTGTAAATATCCTTATCTTGTGCAAAGGGGCAAGGAGACTTTGTGAGTGCTACATCTGCCCTGGGGGTTGGGGCCTGCGTACACTATAAGGGAGGAAAAGAGGCTTGCACCCTTACACACACACACATACACACACACACTTTTGCTCTGGCTGCCTTCTGGCTCTGGCTGCTGCCTTGAAGTATTGCCCCAATGCCAGGCCACCTTGCCTTGCAGCCAGCTGATTATGGCCTAAAACCTCCAAAAACTGTAAACTAAATTAAATTTGGGTGTTGGGTATTTTGTCCCAGCAACAAGAGAAAAATGACGAAGCCAGTCTAGGAGACATTTGTTCTGGCTGCAGCAAACCTGAAAAATGGATCTGCTTCTGAGGACCCCCAGCCCTCCCTGCCATTACTCCAGAGTTCTCAAACTGGTCTGAAAATGCAGGAAACCACACATTCTGTCTGCTCCTGCTCGGTATGAGCAGTACCCCGCATGTTCCTTGGGTCACACCAGGAGGGTGCCCTTTTGTGCACCCCTGTCTTCCACTCCACTGCCACACATATCCCAGTAAGTCTCATGCAGGCAGCCCACTGCCTACTTGCAATTCTTAGCTCAGGCAGAGTGGGCTGGGTTGCACTGAAAAATGGTAATAGTGGAGATTATCACCCTTAAATAGCTGGGAGGGGACACAGTGGGAAAAGCTAAGAGGGGCAGAGTGTGCTGACCAGCAGAAGAGCCCCAGAGAGGTAGCAGAAGCTGCTGAAAGAACTCTAAGAAGTTTCCAAGGGGACTGCGAGCTTCAGCTGCCCAGGAGCTGACTGGGTGGCGAGGCGCTCTCAGAAGGTGTAACACAGAGGTAAGAGCTGCCGGCACTCAAAGCTTGGCGCCACTAACATCAAGCGAGCTATTTTTGCCAGTTAGGTGTTTTGGTTTGGTTTGCTTAGGTCTTGCTTATATAGTTCAGGTGGCCTTGAACTCACAGTGATCCTCTTACTTCCATCTTTCATCTGCTGAGTTTATAGGTGTGTGCCACTACATGTGGCCCCTTGCCATTTGTGATTTATTTACAAACTGAGCAGAACTCTCAGCCAATTGATGACACAGGGCAGCAGGACAAAGCATGGATTGGACAAAGCTGTGGAGCAGGCAGCAAGAGGCCTCTGCATGTGCTTGCGACACTGAGAGCTGGAGGTCAGGAGTGGCACGAGAACCTGCATTGAGGTACACTTGAAGCTTACTAGAATGTCCACATGGCCCAACTATACCACCAATAGGGGTAGAAACAAGAGAAGCAACACACAGTGAACAGAGCAGTGGGTAACGAGTTAGAAAGCAGAAGGAAATGTTCCACGAAGAAGGCTCCTTGATCTGTGCAAACCTCCCACAAAATAACAGCTTTAAAAATTGTGTTCAAGGATGAAGATGTTGGAAATCAGTTAAGGAAATTTGTAAGATCAAGAAGAGAACGCAACCAAAGTCCTATAACTGAAAAACCGCCGTAAGTGAACAACTGCCTTAGCATTCAGAGGTCACATCACAAGCAATTAAGTCCCCAGCCAGTGAAAGGACACATCAAGGACACCCAGCCCTGCCACTCAGCAGTAGCCAGCAGGATGCTCACAAACACGCTGTGTGATCTGATGCTTCACTGCAGAAGGAATGAGTCACAGTTCCCTGCCATCCATTTGCAGGAAACCCAGGACACCAGGCGGGGCAGGACCACAGCCTGCTGCCTCTAGAGGAAGGACTCTGTCTGCACAGACCATGTAGTGGTCACTTTACTGCAGACTTGGCCAGACCCATCTCTCACCAAACTGCACATTCAGAATTGGTGACTTTACTATATGTGAGCTCCCTGTAGTGAAATGTACATAAGCATAAACCGTTTTTTAAAAAGGTTTTGATACAGGAGCATGGAGGACACAAAAATGACACAAAATAGACCAAAAGAAGACAGTGCCAAGCATCTGAGAGGAACTGTGTCCCGAAGACAGGAAGGTCTTCAAATGCTCAAGAAGAAAACCACCAGCCCAGTAAACATACAGACAAGAGACTGCCAGATACCTGCACAAAGAGTGAGGTACTTCTCACCCTCACACGTGGCTCACAGGACAGATGGGATTCGCTGTATGCCAGGGAGGACGGCAGGCCCTGGACCATGCCCATTCCCACCAGGGATCACACGCAGCAGAAGCAGCAGTACCCAGCACCAGTCCAGGGCACAGACTCCTCCCATATGGGTGCAGGGAAAAGGCAAGATGGGCACAGCAGAGAGGAAGTTCCATCTACACAAACCTGTGTGCCCAAGAACACCAACAGCAGCACACATGGGGACAGGGAGACCCCCTCTGCCACCTGGACCGTGGTGACAGGTAGATTTGCCAGCCTATACATGCTAAACCTGCATGGTCTGCATCACCGCCAGCACCTGGCAGACATGAGCCCAGTAGCATGCCAAAGACACCTGCAGGGTCTCCCAGTGCCTCCCTAAGGGCCTCCACCAAGCCTCAACTCTGGTCTGAGTAGCAGAGCACTGGGTTTCCAGATCTACCACCACTCTGGAAGCCTGGCTCTGTGCGCAAGGCAGCTACAAAGCTCCAAACTGAGCACAGACAGAGCAGCATGCAGCCTCTCCAGCCTCACTGGGCACTGCCCTCTCATACTGCTGTGCAGCCCAGGCCAACTCCTTGACCACCCCTCCTCTGTCTCAGTCACCAGAGAATGGCCCTGATCCCCAGGCTCCAGGCTCCAGGGTCCAGCCCATTCACCTGGCTGCGCCCCCATACTGGCTTCCTCAGCAGGTGCCATCTGTGAGTTGTGTGTCTCCTGTCACCCTCACCTGGGCCTGGGCATACAACAGGACCACAGGCAGAGGAGTCCCCTGGTGGACTACATAGACTTGTGCCTCGCAAGGGTGCAGAACACACTGGGAAAGAACAGCCAGAAGCAGGCCACCTTTCTAAGCTGCCAGCTGCTTCACCAAGGAAAAGGAAAACTAGTGGCCTCTCCATGCACAGCAGACAGATAACTGCCAGAGAAAACAGAAGCAAATGGGAAAGAACTGGTGGGCAGGACACAAACACCATGGGAGACAAGCAGAGGCAGCTTGGCCAGAGGCCTCCTGAGGAAGGGCTAGTCCCTATGTTTTTCAGAAGACCCCTCCAGGCTGGTTGTGGAGAAATGTCATCTCCACAGTCTGCACAGTGGGGCTGTCAGAGAAGCAAGCCTCAAAAGAATAAATGCTCAGAAACTTCTAAAATGCACCAGGCACGTTTCTGCTAATTTGAGGCAACTGAATCGCTTGTTATATATAACAGCACTCTTTTTTTGCCATGAGTATTGCAATGGGTTAGCAAGCAATAGAAGAAATATTCCCGGTGCCTAGATACAGGGGCAGAAACACTTATTGCTGTAAACTGCAATGAGGGATGTTACACAATTTACTTCTCAGCCTTACTCCTTCACCTGATTTCTCAAATACCTCTTTTTTACTCATCTGATACACAATATGGTGATAACTTCAACTTCAGAAAACTTTTTTATTGAAACAGAGAAAGAAACAGGAGAAACTGGTGGGAATCTGCTGAGCAGGAGAAGAGGGCACCATCCCTCCCACAGCACCTGTACCCTGAAACCAGGCCACAGAGGTCAGCGACTGCAGCCTCCTATCTGCACTCCTCTCACTGCCCCAGTTCGACCTTGGACTCGCCACACACACACTCACCCCAAGACAAAGCAAGAAAACAGCTGGTACTAAATTTTGATATCTGAAATCAAAGAGAATACTGTGTTTTTTGTGATATACGTTAAAAACTCACCTTATTACCTGGAAACAGTTAGCTGTGTTGCCAACTGCGAAATAGTCCGCTGTGGTCACGATATCAATTCCGTGAGGGAAGGTGCCCTGGTAAAAAAGGTGAAATTGAAGAAAGAAGAGGAGGTGAGAAATAATATGACCAAGTAAAGGCATCCCAAAAAGCCAGAGACTACACACACATCCACACTCAGGCCAGGCAGCAGTGCCAGGATCATCTAGACTAGTCCACACAAGTCATAACTCAAATGACTTAAAAATGTCAACTTCAAAACACTGAAAAGATCTTTCCTCAAAAGACACCAGACTTCAGCAGTGCAGACACACTGCTCTCAACGTGCACATGACCCCACTGACTGACAGAGGCCCAAGGCTGGAATCAGTCCATGGCAGGCTGGCGAGGTGGGCATCCACAGGAGGTAGGTGCCTCTTGGTCATGAAACCCAGACCAGAGCCCAACCTCGCCCTGCCAAGCATGGCAAGGGAGTGACACGAGCAGCCACTCCACCAGCGCCAGCAGCAACGGGAATGTGCGGTGGGGTAGGGCTACAGTGGGTGGGGCCGCAGGTGATGGGGACAGTAAGCCGTCAGCCTGGCACTGCCACACTCCCAGCAGGACCCCAGAGTCTGCACATCATTAATGACACTTTTGACTGGTAAAAAACATTTAAAAATCTAGAAATTATACAAATAAGTTTTTAAGAGACCAATAGTACAGCCATATGCCAACACAAAAAGCCAAGCTACCAAGCACAGCAGGAGAGAAAAGCCTCAGAGAATGTCCCAGGCTTGGCCAACATGGGCAAATCATACAGACCCTCCAGGCCCGGGGGGACAGCACAGACCTCCTTCCAGAGAGCCCCGCTGGCCACTGCTCCCACAGGGCAAGTGGGCAGGACACAGTTGGCCCAGGCATCAGGACCCACATTCCCAGTGGTCCTAGATGGAGAAGCTGCCCAGTACCCTGGAGTGGCCCTGTTACTGCCCAGTTGTCTCAGCGACCCGTGTCACACCAAGTCCAAGCACCTCACAGGCCAATCCCAAGTGCTGTGTAAAGGGCCTGCCCTTCAGTTGCCCAACCTGCAGAGAACACAGCCTTCATGACCTCTGATTCTGTCCACCCTTCCAGGTGACTCCGGTGTCCTTGTGTGCAACACCGTGGCCTTGCCGGTCCCTACAAAGCTGGATACCTCACCCAGATGATCCCTCATGCCTCTGGGAGGGTGCAGCATTAACTCCACAGTATCTGGCCAAGTGCAGATGCCGGCTGGCCACATTTACAGCAGAAGCAAGCACGTGATGCCCAGTCTGCTGCCTCAGCAAATCCCCCAGTTAAGGGTCACCTGCTGGCCTCAAAGATCAAAGGTACTTCCTCCTGTGGCTCTGACCAGGATACCACCAAGTGGGGCCCCATGTCTCCTTCAAGGCCCGGGGGTCTCTCACAGTCAGGTTCTGGAAGTCAGGGTCCCTGAAGGGAGGGCCCCCAGCCACAGAAGTGCCTCACCCTCCTGCACCTACTCTGCAGGGGCTGCCTGAGCTGAGGCTCAAAGAACATGAGCAAGATACAGAAAACCACCATAGCAAGGCCAGAGGCCATCGTCCCTGCAGCACCTTCAAAGGCCTGGCTGTGCGGGCAGGCAAAGTGGCAGGCCTGGCCCTCAGGAGGGCCTTCAAGGAACTCACACACACACCTCCTGCCATGACACTCACATCCAAGCAGAACAGTGGCTGAGCTCTGCTGGCATGAGTCAGCTGGCCAGGGCCTCCAGAGGACAGATCTGTCCTCAGCCTCTATCCCACACCTCAAAGTCCAGGTCGTCATGCTACCTGCTCAGTCTGACAACCTGGTTTTGCATGCCATCCTCAGGAAAAGCACCAACACCAAAGGCCACCGAAGGCTGGGCCCGCTGTCTTGCTTAGCCAGCTGTGGCATCCTGGCCTGATGGATCAGCAATATCTCCTTGATAAAAAGATGGCCACCACCTGCACACCCCAAGCTGCTCCCTACTCACACCAGCCAAGGACCCCAAACAAGGGACCTCAGCAGCACCCCACCTCCTGCATTCCACACCCAGCAAGGTATATCTGGGCTCTGGCCATAATCCAACGCTGTCCTCTCAGGGCCGCACACCATGCAGGGGCCGCGGTCTGCACACCTGCTGCTTTTTCTGGCACCTATGCCCTGCCCTGGGGCTACCCATGACCCACTTCTTCCTGAGGTACGGGCATCAGCCCAGGTGCACCTCAGGCTGCTCGGTCTCCCCCAGGACACTTACCCATTGCCCAGAACTCCTCTTCTCAGCCTACGCCTCCTCCTCCCACCTGCACACAGCTGGGATCTTTGTTTTCCTCACATATAGCGATACTGTAAGCCCCTAGAACTGGGTACACTGTCACCCTGTCCAGCCCTCCTCAGGTGGTTTCTTGTGGGAACCCTACCCCCAACCTCAGTCTATCCCTAAAGCTGCCACACAACCCGGACTTGGCCCATCCAGCCTCTAGTCTGTTCTCAGGAAAGGCCCCAGCCTCACCATAGCACAGCCCGATCAAGCAGACCACGCACTCCAGTGAGTTAGTGTCTCACCACATGGAGTCCTGCACCCACTTCCTGGGTGTGGTGGTGCTGGGGTCAGAGGGCACAGCTATGATGCCAACAAGCATGGAAGGATCGTGGGGCCCAGGCTCCTGGAAGGTGAGGCTGAGGCTGACACCATGTGGGCTGGGAAGAGGCCAGGCCTCCTCTGCCATGCTTGGACACCAGCCACATGGCAGCTCCAGCAATGCAAAAGATTCCTGCATGAAGCAGCCACCTGCGGAGCAGGTGTGTCAGTATCCGATGGGCTCTAGGCCGGAGGCTATACTTCTGGGCTACCCGAAGTGAATTCTTTACCATATTCAATAGTGTAAGACACCAAGTTCACAGCTTTCAAGATCCCACCTCCAAAGCTACAGGAAGTTTCAGCAAGGAAGGTTTACAAAGTAGCCATACCTGTCTCCCCACATTCTCTTGGAAGGCAGCCTGAGGAGAGAAAGAACAAAGAGCAGGTGAGTGAGGTTTGCTTCTGTGAACACAGAGACAGATTCAAAACAAACACAGAGCAGTGCGAATGACCCATGGCTTTATTTTTATATAAGAGCCCTCATTGTTGGCTGCACAGGGCCCCCACGGCCCTTTGTCACTGTCTTTGCATCCTGGTGTCCTTTAACATCACAATTTAAGAACCCAATTTATAAAATTAGATGTCTTGAAAAGCGGCCTTTCACTGCGGCATTTACCCCAGAGTCCAGGATAAGGCCACAGAGCCCAAGGAAGAGCAAGCCCAGCAGTGGGGTTAAATGAAAGGCAACCATACACATGCGCTTCCTACAGAATTTTATGACCACCACTGTGACTGACACCGGCAGCTACATCCCGAAGGGCACTGCCCCAGTCCCACCAGCCTTTCCCACCAGCTGTCTGGGAGCCCGAGTTACACAAACTGCACTACGATGGTCTAAATCTAATCTGGCAGGCATGAAGGTACACACTGAGAGTATCAGGACTTGGAAAGATTGAGGCAAAAGGGTTGGATTGAAAATCTGAGCCCAACTTGGACTCAAAATTTGTGACCTTGTCTCAAAAATTTTGTAAGAACAGTTGGGAGTGTAGGTCAGTATTAAAGGTCTTAGGTCCAATTCCAATACCACAAAAAGTTAAATAAATAAAAAAACTTCAGAAGATTGATGTTAAAGAAAGCTAAAACCTAAATGTTTCAGGGTAAATCTTCTTTACCTTCTGGGTGGCTCCTCCCCCTTTCACCCTGCCCCTTGGCAAAGCTCCAGGCATGGCAGGAGCTGGCCAGGTGAAGGCAACACCTTGCTTCCTGTCTGTCACCCAGCACAAGACAGACTTTCTCAAAGCACTGAAGAGCCGAGTCCTCCAACTAGGGCTGGGGACAGATGTAGACATGGGGCCTCACATGGAGCGAAGTAGAGCTGCACATGCCATTAGTGGGTACAAAGACAGCATGTGGAGGGAAGACTCAGGGCCAAATTTGGAGGCCAGGAGAGACACCCCACCACTCAGCACAGACAGGTTTCCTGAGCAGCTGAGGATGCATGAATGTCAAGGGGCTGAAGCCCACTGCCCCACACAATCAGAAAGTACCCACGATGGCACAAGGCTGTCCCAAGAGGCCCTAAGACTGGGGCAGAAACACCAGGTGACACCCTATAGGTGTGTCTCCATACTTTCTTTTTCTTTTTTTTTTTTCCCCCCCTCTATTTTTTTGAGGCCAAGTCTCACTATGCAGTACAGGATGGCCTTGAACTTGCTTACGTAGTCCAGGCTGGCCTCCAATCACAGCAATCCTGCCACAGCTCCCAAGCGTTGGGATTATAAGGGGTACCACCATGCCCACTCATACTTTCTAAACTGGAAAGGGTACCTGATCCTAACATCATTTTGTAAATTTTATAATAAACACACTAAAGGAAAAAAAAAGCAACCAAAATACTTGCAAAATAGAAAGTCAACAGAGTAATATTTAGGAACATATTAACTATTCTGGTAGCATCATCTGAAAGGTAAAGAAAAACCGGAAGCCTATGTGGAAAAAAGCCTAAGTCCCAGAGTAATGAAACAATCTTGGGAAAGAAGAACTGCGACATGTAAGCTGGCCCACCGGCAGCGATGATGATGATGATGATGATGATGATGATGATGATGATGATGTAGGCAGGGCTCTGGACCAGGGCAGGCGCCACCTCAGCCTCAACATGGGCAGCACAACCTGAAGGAACCTGAGCTCTGCTCTGTGGGAGACGGAGCCACAGCTTAAAGAACTTGCAATCCACACACCTGGAAAGGCACCTAAACGGTGGAATAAACTCAGCACTCAATGGTGAAAACCAAATGACCCAATCAGAAAACAGGCAAAACACTGAACAGGAACTTCTGTCCAGAGAGGATGATCAACAGTAAGTCATCGCCAACAGAGAAACACAAGGCAAACCCCCACGCCATCAATAGCAAGGCTGAAATCAAGCCCAGCGACCACATCCAACAGTAGTGAGGATGGGACTGGTACGAAACAGCCCCAGGGACAGGATGCAGCCTAGCAAGTGTGCTCCTGGCATTACCGTGACTGCTTTTCTCCTCCCCACTCCCAAGGACAGGGGATTATACTTGGGCCTTCGCACTGAGCTACTTCGTCTGCCCTTTTTATCTTCCATTTTGAGACAGGGTCTCACCAGGTTGTCCAGGCTGAATTCAAACTTGCAATAGATTGCAATATGCCACAGCTCCATTCTTAACAGGCCCCAGGCAGCAGCAATCAAGACAATCACGACGTGCCTCAATAGGCAAACAAACCATGGCATAGTCAGAAGCAGGACCAAACGTTCCAATACCAGACGACTCTCAGGGACATGTGCCCTGTGAAAAGGTCAGACCCCAAAACGCAGGTGCCAAAACAACCACTTGGATCTAGAAGTAGATCTCTTTGTTAGAAGTAGCAAAGAGGTTGCAGAAGACGGGTAACAGGTGGCCAAGGTTAAAATGCCTGATGTAGGGATGGCCTGGAGATGGACTGCTCTGTGCCTGGGCTGCAGCAGACAAGAAACCAGAGGTGTGCATGTGACTCAACACAGAAGCAAGTGTACATACACAGAGCCAAGGAGCCCAACCAGGGCCAGCAGGTGGTAGGGGTCAGTCTTAACTTTCCTCTCATTGCTGGGACACAATACCTGACGCCCAAAATTAAAGAAAGAAAGGTTTATTTCGCTCACAGTTTGTAGAGATTTTAGTCCATACTCAGCGGGTTCCACACAGGGTGGCCCGGGATAGGGGCAACACTTCATCACAGCAGAAGACAGCAAAGCTGTGAGAGTGCAAAGCGGGAGAAGATGCCTCTTTTCCTCCCTTATATTGTAGGCAGGCTACCACCCACTAGAGCAGGCAGAGCACTCACACTATCTCCCTGCGCTCCTCCCATACAGGATGAAGATGTTCACAAGTGAGGACCCTGGACCCTGCAGAGTTAAATTTCTAAACTTCTCAAGGTCACGCAATGAACAACATCCTAGAGCTTTAAGGGGATGTCCTTCACACCCAGGATGCAGACCTGCAGAGCTACTTAAGACTTCTAACCTTCTCAAGTTGACACAATGTATCAACCATTACAGGGTCAACCATTCCAGGCTATGTTTCATAGAAACTGTGCCAGATTTTATCACTGGAGAGGAATATGGTGGGCATATCGACTCACTCAGTATTACAACTGCAGGGAACCTCAATTATCTCAAAGTAAAACAGCAAAAAACAATACTTGAAGAGTTTAGGCTCTCCATATCAAACGAAGCGCCAGATGGTAAAGATGTGAAAACCTTCCTGTTAATTTGAGGCCTCCATGTCTTATTGTGGCTGTCAGCAAGGTCCCCGAGCTCATCTCCTCCCCACTCCTGGCTGGACCCCTATAAGAGCTTTGAGGCCCATCTTAGAGCCTTGTCCTCCTGTGGCAGGCAGAGCCTTCACAGGGTCACCACTCACAGGCTGCTGGACCTTCCAGTACACAGAGCAACTGCAAGTCAGCCAGCAACTTCATCTGTCTACAAGCTCACCAAAGTGCTTACCACCACACACAGGCAGGCCTGAACTCTGCTGCACCCCCAGGTGCTAGGACCCATAACAGCGCCTCCTCCAGAGGTGCAGGGAAAACCATCACTGAACGATGTGGTGGCCACTTCTATCACCGTCAGAAAAGTTCTGTAGCCTCAGGCACTTGGAAGCCCAGGAAAAGGGGACAGTGCCAACCACTGGGGGGGGGGGGAGCATGACAACACAGTAAAGTAGGGCCTTGGGCATAAGAACAAGGCCAGTGCTCCAGGGCACCCAGCCCTGCCTGTAGTCCCTGCACCCGGAGCAAGTAAATATCAGCCAGAGGATGAAAGGTCTACCTGAAAGAGAAGCTTTGCTCCCAATCAGTAGGCACCTGGTCTTCATACTTCAAAAAAGGAAGAGAAAAAAAAAAAAAAGGAAAAGGCTTGAGGATGTGCCTCAGCATGGAAGTCTTGGGTTCAACTCCCAGTACTAAAGGAAAAGAAATCCCATAACCTCAGACATCTCTGATTTTTCTCCATTTTACTTCTGCAGTCTGCTACTAAGCAGTGAATCCTGAGTGAGATGTAGCATGAAGAAGTTCATGCCAATTTAAAATGGTTGTATTTAACTTAATGAAAAAACTGATTTATGTAGTTTTGTTTCACCTCATCGCACTTAAAGCTGTAAGTGCTTTGATTTTATTACTGCTTCCATAAAAGTATCTTAGGTCACAGAAAAGAAAACATGTGAGTTACCTTCTTAAGTACAGATTTAGTGTAAATTCTTATTATGTCTGAATCTACTGTACCCAACAAGGCAAGGATGTGAAGACCTCAGGATGAAGCCTGGGCTTCCTACAAAAGCTGTGCAAAAAAGGTAGTGAGGGCAGAGCACCTCAGCCCTGAGATGATGGAGCACTCCCAACCGCTAGCTTCCTGTGTGTGCACCTGCTAGAGAGACACAGCAGCACTATGCCAAGGGGCCACAAGGGCCCCAGCAGCCACATGGCTGTCCTACACTCGGCTGTTCCGCGTCCTGAGCACAACATGTCATTAACGATCCCAAGCACACCAGGGCACCAAGACCACAGAGTTGGGGCATCGTTCAATGGCACCCATTCACCACAGCTTCTTGCAAGGTGACCTCATCTCAGGCCACCTAGACCTGGCAGGCTCAGATCCAGCCCAAGCTACACAGCACTCCATTCCACATCTGCAAGCTTCCCCACAATCATGCCTTCCCACCTGTTTTGTTAAAAATTTCCTGGGAGGTGGAGCAAGCACTTCTCTATCATATGGGAGGCCAGGATTCCACCCCCAGCACAGCCAAAGAAACCCCCAAACAGATGGTGGCCCACCTACACAAATGTATGCTTGACAAAAGGCCAGCCTTAGTCGCTTCTTGCCACCTCTCACAGACTCCAACAGCTTCCCACAAGATGCCAGCCCTTGGGCACTGGAAGGCTGTCGCACCTCCACATGCTCAGTGGCCACTCTCTTCCCCACTCCCTGGATCCACTCTCTAGACCCAGCCACTGTGGGACTACCCTGGCAGCCAACCTGCTTTGGAACAGCTCCTCACCAGCCATGTGACCTGATCTGAGTCATGGATGATTCCCCTCAGTGGTCAAGGGCAGCACTCAGATGTCCCACAGGGTCTCCTCCACCTGGAATCCGCTGGAGCTCAAACAGGCTTGAACCTCACCACTCACATAGCCCCATCCCCAGGAGGAGGCAGGTGATGGGGCAAGAGGATGTGTCCAGCACCTCTCCAAGGTCACCACACAACTGGCAAGGCTCCTTCGGACTGAGTCTACCCCGAAACCCTCAGTGCACTGGAGACCCAGCTTCCAAACGCAAGCAAGAAGGCCCCACCCATGAGGCCCACTCAGCAGGCCCGATGGGAGAGTGAGCAGGGCTCAACCACAGCTCATCGTGAGGCCTCAAACCCCTCTGTGGCCTGCCCCACCTCCCACTGCCTGTGTTTCATCCTGGAGCACCTGTCCCAGCCTGTCCATGGCAGATGTATAAGACCCCTCCATGGGACTCAGGCCATTCACTTCTGTTTCCCAACAGGGGGTTCCTGGGCCACACTGGGAGGAGAGGTATAGGGGTGCTCCTGAGTCCTGACCTGCCCTCCCAGGAAACCCAGGTGGATGAGTTTCTGGCTCTGCTGAAATGTCCTGCTCTCCTCACCCTGGCCACATAGCCCCATGTGAAAGACACTAAGGCCCTCACTCCTGACAGGGTCAGTCAGGGCTAGCCACCCCTTCCAGGACAGGGAGCATGTGAAAATGAGAATACCGGGTAACACATTCGGGGCCCCTCTGGCATCTCAGTCCCCATCTCTACTCCCCTTACCTTTTCCCCAATAAATTCTCTCCCTCTTAAAACAATAAGAAAGAAAAGGAAATGAGAACACTTACTGAAGCCGCTCTCCTGCAGTTCACATTCCGGTCAAACACTGAAGCGACAACCAGGGCACTGTGGAAAGAGGACACAGTGGATTGAAGGGCGCCCACGGCAGGGCAGGCCACATAGTGGGGCCTCTCTCCCTCTCTGCTTCTTCACTATATTCCTGGCCACCTGACATCTGCTCCCCCACACACAGCAGGCACCCTGAGGTGCGAGGTCATGAGAGAGCAGTGTGACCTCCTGGACACTAGTGTCCCAAGGGCAGCCAGCCTAATGAAAGCCATAGGATGGCAGAGCCCAGCCGCATGGCTGACCCCAGGCTCTGGGGCACCAGCTGCCCATGATTTCTGAGCTTCATGCAGCAGACTGACACACAGCCACCGACAGCCAGCATGCACCAGCCAGAGCATCCCCCAACTCAGGTCAACGTCGAATTCCCTCCTGAGAGGGGAGGCAAACCAAGATGGGAGTATCAGGGTGGAACTCCTGGTTGAGTCCTGTTAGCGTTATGAAAAGGGGACGCGTGTGCAAAGGACACACGCACATATACACACACATGCACACATGGGGACCCACAGACATGTGTGTATCACAGAGGCACAAGCATGTACACATGCACGCACACAGCCACACAGGCGAGCACAGGCACACTGGGCTCCATCCCACCATGTGATACCCACTGACCAGCAAGAAGGCCATTGCCAGACAGAGCCTGTTGATCTCAGACTACAACTGTGATGCAAACTAAACGTTTTCTTTGTAAAGTAGCCTCCTCCAGTGTTTGTCACAGTCTTGTGACACAGTGTTGTGTCACAGTCACAACAACAACAAAAACCTCCCTGCAACTGTGCAGTATTCCTCAGAGTGGCCAGGAAACACTTCCCAAGCACAGGAAGCAGCTTCAGTCTGCCCCACCACAGCACAGGGAGAATGGAGTCTTTTTGAGCCCAGTTGGGGATACTCCAAATTTAGGTGCTCAAACATAAGTACTATGAGTAACCCAGAGGTTCCCTTCCCGTGTTCCCCCTTTCCACACCCAGCCCCTCATCCCTCAGAGCCCCCAGTGTACAGTCTCAGGGGATGGAGAGGAAGAGACACAGGGAGTGTCATGAACATCAAAATGAGAAGGACACAGAAATCAACCTTAGTTCACACTGCATGTGAGAGTTGCAGGCAAGATGGAAGAGGATGGATGCCCAGCATTGGGCTCTGACCTAGAAGGTGCCCCCATAGCCTATGTGTTGAAACTTAATGAGGCATGCCACTGTGGGGAACCACCTGGGGCCTAGTGAAGGAAGCAGGGCACTGAGGAGAGTGGGCCCAGATATACTCTCCCTGCTTCTTGGCCACCGTGAGATGAACAGGCCTTCTCCTCTACAGCTCCTATGCTGGTACAGGCCCCAAACAACAAGCAAACTGCCACAGACTGCACAAGCCAGCAGTGGGGGGCAGCTCAGTGGGGAGCAACTACACAGCATGAACAAGACCCTGAATTCCGTCCCCAGGATAGGGGAGGGTACTGTGAGCCCAAATAAGACTATTCTCACATACTGACCACTCCAGCTGTCCTGTAACCGCAGAAAGCTGGCTGGCATGCCAGGGCAGCAGGTGAAGGTCACAGGATTGGAGGGGGGTTTGGGGGACCCCAGCACAATCACAGATCACAGAAGGACAGTCACCTTCCAGTAGACCCCTGGCCTGCCAGGCCCACTTTCTCAGGTGACCATGGTCCTCAGCCCAGTGCTGCTAGAGGCCATGGACCCACATGGAAGCCCATATAACTACCTATAATGCCGGCCTTGGTCATGCTACAGGTCTGCCAAGGTGCTGTCACAAGGACAGACAGCAGACTGTGAGTGGAATGGTGGCCACTAATAAATGTGGATGAGAGGAGAAAAAATATTCTGGAATTGGGTTGGGCCAGGGATTTAGCTCTCAGTGGCATAAGCACTTGCCTGGCAAGCACAAGATCCTGAGTTCAATGGGCTGGGGATTTAGCTCAGCGGCATAAGCGCCTGCCTTGCAGGCGCGCAGTCGTGAGTTCGATCCCCAGTACCGATAAAAAAAAAAAATTAAAAAACAAAAGATCCTGAGTTCAATTCCCAGTACCAAAAAACAAAAATAAATCCAGCATGTCCATTTTAAAAAGCCAGGCATGGTGGGACACTCCTATAATCCCAGCACTTGGGAGGCTGAGGCAGAAGAATCATTTGCAAGTTCAGGATCATTTGGTCCAAGTTCAAAATCACCACAAAGTCAGCCCAAGGCCAGCCTGAATTGCACAGCAAGACCCTCTGGAGGCAGGTGATGGGGCAAGAAGATGTGTCCAGCACCTCTCCAAGGTCACCACACAGCTGGCAAGGTTCCTTCTGTCTGAGTCTACCCCAACACCCTCAGTGCACTGGAGACCAGCTTCCAAATGCAAGCAAGAAGGCCCCGCCTTGTCTCAAAAATAAATGAATAAATAAAAATAAAAATTCTGGAATTAGACTACTTGCACAACTTGCTACTTGCTACTTGCACAACTCCAAATACACTAAATACCATAACAATTGACACTTTGAAGGTGAATTTTATGGCATGTGAATTGCATTGCAACAAAACTGTCACTTTTTAACAACACTCTAAGGTCATTCGAGACAAGAGAAGATGGAGGAGCCATCACAGAGTGAAGGGGACAAAGAAGACACAACTGGGTGCCTCTGGGGGCCTGGGTGCACTAGACAGAGGAGGACTGGACAGCCCATCGCCCATGAGTGCACGGCTCATGGAGGGGGTGGGCAGAAGGGCCTATGGACTCCACATCCGTGGGCTTCAGCAAGTACACAATGACTTAGTGACAGGGTTCTGAAGAACAACTGCCTGACACTCCTGAGGGCCAGAGCAGTTCCCAGGCTCAGGCCCCATGCTGGGAGCCGATGCACACAACTCTTGGCAAGTGAGCCACAGAAAACTGGTCTGTCCTTCTCTAAACTCTTCACTATACAACAAATGGTAGCCATGGTGAGGAAGGAAAACCTGACTGGAAACCACAGGGAACTCATCTTTTCCTAGTATGAACGTTTTAAGACTGCTTCTGTTTCATGATGGTACGATGGCTTCTTAACAGAGTATTAGATGGATAAATGGGATCTTCCAATTGATTCCGAGCTATGGACCTGCTGCTGTGAACAAAACAAGTCTGGCATCCTAAAGACACCATCAGAGTCACCAATGTAAGTATTATGCTTACATTCTAATGAGAGCTTTGCTTTTTCAAATCCATAAAATTATGTTTTTTATGGAAAGGAAGTCAACTAAGAATCTGCTTTTGTGCAACATCTGCCATCAAAAAATGTGGAAACCAGTGATCACTGTGCACATTCACACTTCACACAGAATTCCTGGGGTCCTCCGTCCATTTCTCTATCCTGATTATTATTTTACACTGGCACCTGAATCAGCGAGAGAACAAAGCAAACATGAAGAAATTCTAAATGACTTCCCAACCTAGCAAGGGCCTGTGGCAGCATCCTTTGAAAGCAGCAGGACAGGGCCTCCACTCTGTGCCTGCAGACTCCTGCCTCTGTCCAGGCAGATTGACCAGGCTCCAGTTCCAGCTGCACACTGGGTCACTCGGGGAGCCCCAGGACCTAGTGGCCCCAGTGCCTCAGCCAAAGACAATGCAGCTGGGCAGGTTGAGTCCTGGCCAATCTCCAGAGCTAGGCCCTGAGCATCTCCCTCCCTCCAGGCCCTCCCCAAGGCCTCAGGCCCTGCCACCTTTCTACTAAGACTCTTCACAAGCAGTTCTGTGGCTGCTCATGTGATCCACAGGGTGAGCAGGGCCATCCCACAGTATATGGCGGCCAGGCACATACTCCCCTCCACATAGCTCTCCCTGTGCTTGGCATCAGTATCCAGGAGCCCAGGAGGTCAGGATCTCCCACCCTAGAATGTTCCTCCAGCCACCAGGGCAGCAGCTGTAGGACTAGCCCACTCCCTCCAGCTTTTGGTTACCAGCTATTATAGCTTGTTTAAGTGTCCCCCTAAAGTCTCATGAAGTCATGAAGGCCGCTGAGTCCAGTATTTGTGATTGGGTCGTTGTCTAGCACTGGGATTGGTGGTGTGAGTTCTGCACCTGCCCAAGAGCAGATAACCGGCATACAAGATAAGGGAGGAAAGGGGGCATGCTTTTCCCCTTTTGCCTTTTAGCTCTTGCCCTTTGCTGCCGCCATGAAGGGCTGCCCCTCAGCCACACCACACTGCCTTGGAGCCAGCCAAGTATAGACTGAAACCTCCACAAACTGCAAGCTAAATAAACCTTTCCTTCCCTCATTTTGGGTGTCAGGTATTTTGTCTCAACAAGAGAAAGGTTAACTGAAAGGCTCTTGCGCTAGTATAAATTACTGTACAGTTATGGCGGTGGTCTAACGTGGCAGAAGGCCAAAGCGGGGATGCCTACCACTTCCTGCCTCTTCCTCAGCCTTAATTGCAACTCCCATTCCTGTTTGCGGGTGAAGAAAATCCCAATCAGCTCCTCCTACATCATCAATGCCCACCCTAAGTGCCACCCCTGGTCAGAGGTTATATGTATGTCCCATAACCCCATCATTCGAGGAGAGAAAGCCAGGCTACCGGTGGTCATGGACTTCTCTCCACATCGTTGGAATAAAAGCTTTTTTACTTTATAGTCTCTCTTTCACCATGCCAAAAACCCTTTCAGTAACCAAGACAGCAGCCATCCCATAGTCTCCCAGACACAGCCTGTCACTCAGAGAAGCCCCAGGAGCCTGCAGCAATCTGGACAGGAAGACAGCAGGTGCCTTGCTCATGACTCATAATGGATGTACCATCCACATAGCCACAGCTGAGAACTGTCCATGCAGATCCCCACGGCAGGAATGAGCAGTGTGCACTACAGGCAGAGGTGACCACGCTGAGCAGGAAGCCTGGCATTTACCCCCACTGAGTAGGTTTCTGCCTTTACAAGTAAACCTCTTTAAACAGCTGCCTCATCCACACATTTCACCAAACTTCACAGAACACAGAGCAAACATAACAATGTCTGGGAACCACTGCTTTCCATTACTGCAGGCTTCCAGGTTAATCCAACATGACAAGTGTGTGTCCACAGTTGGAACTGGGTTTTAAAGAGTATTTTGATTTGGACTCAATTTTTAAAGATACTTTCACACTTAAGGACCAAAACTGGCTTATCTAGTAATGCTAGCATGTCTCAAATACAAATAGGTTTGACAATACTGGTTACATATGTAAGAACGCACCTCCCCAAACCACTGTTCCTGAGGTGCAGGCCTCCACCGCCCCAGCGGGATGGCCGTGCCACACAAGGTGCGGTTCTGCCCAGCGTTGCAGGGGCAGGCAAGGAGATGCCGGGCCAGCCACAGGCCAACCTGCCAGGGCAAGACCAGTTACAGGCATCTCCACAGCACAGACCCAGGCCCCCTCAAGTCCAGGGAAGGAGGCACAGCTCCGTTCAGGGAGAAACACAGCTCACAAGGACTCAGTTTCTTAGGGTGCAATATCATGCAACGCTCAAAAACAAAACCCTGCTTTTATCTGAGCAAAAATAATCCTGTTGTTCTGATTCTTTTCTCAGGGCTGGGGATGAACCCTGGGTTTCACAAAACTGAGTAAATGCTCTAAACTCCCAGCCCTGAAGTAAAAAAAAAAAAAAACTTTGAATACCAAATTAATAATTTACTATCCACCCATTTTTTTTTACAAACTGGAAGTCACATACTTCAAGTAAAATAAGAGCCAAGCCCTGCCTTTGGTTGAATATCCTTGGACCATAAAAGAGCCAGAGCGCTGGCCACACAAGGATGCAGAGTGCAGTGCTTCTTGGTCACACGACAGGGTAGCCCACCATGAGGGCTGGCCTCCCTGGGCAGCAAGAGGCTGTACAGTGTTTCCCTCTATAACCCTGGTCTCAGAAACCCAGAGAGAACAAGACATAGCTTTGAGCAATGCTTGCCATTTCCTGATTTTTCAGGACACTCTTGCCCTCAAGGAAGAGATCTCACTGAACCAATCCCCGGGCCCCTACAGCCCACGCTGCCAGACCGGTTTGCCAGTGGAGGCGAGAGTCAGGAGCTGCCCAGGGCAGGGGTGGGAGTGCACTTCAACTAGGACTCGGCTTACCAAAGAGTTTCAGGTGAGGAAATCGCTCAAAGGCAACAGTCAGAGCACGTTGGCAACTGAGCACAGTCCTTTTCTGTCCTTCCTGCAAATTAGCTTTTGATCACTAGTCAGAAGGAATTTTCTAGATGATGAACATCCATCCACTGCATTGTCATAGTACACATCTCCGCTCCTGCAGCATGAACCTGCTTTCTAAGAAACTTGACTCTCTCTGGAGTCTTTCCACCCCCAGCTGTCTGTGTACTAGACTGAGGAAAGAGGGGCTTCTGAAAAAGACCAACACAACTTCAAAACAAGAAAAAAATAATCAGACTAAAAAACTTCTTATGCTAGATAATAGAAAACAGAGATAAATCTTTTTGCAAACCAGAAGACAGAGGATTAGGGGAAGGAAATAAGGGGAAAATGTAAAAAGAACCAAAATGTGTTCTGCACATAAACCAACTCCCCACAGTGCATGTAATCAATATGTACTACAAACATACTAGTAAAAAATCATAAATAAACCAATGAGGAATCACACAAATTCATGCTGAGGCAGGATGACAGTTAATCCAAATTTCTTCAGCAAAAAACCAAGGATGTGAGCCATACTGCCCTCCCTGGTGTCATTGAGTACTTAGCATCCGGCAGTATGAGTGGTCCTTAGCTTCTCAGCCACCCCTAGATCTTGTCAGGCACTGCTATCCTACTTAGAAAGTACATTTTGATCTCAGCTGTCTACTTTTACAGGATACTGTGGACAGTTTGTGAAAGTAAAGATATCAAGATTTTATCCAGTGCCAGAATTAATGGGCTTAAAAGCTGCTAATTAAAGTGTGGTCACTCATGCTGAGCTGAGCGGGGCAGGCCTGGAGGCACACCCCAACCGATACTCGGCTCGGGCTCAGGCTCGAGCTTGGGCGGGTGGCACCAGCTCCCCAGGCAGGGAAGCCGGCACAGGGCTCCCTGACTCACCTGCCACCTCCCCCACCAGATGCCTGGAGCCTGGATGGCCAGTGAAGGCAGGGCACACAGGTTCCCTCAAACCTGCTGAACCAGCCTGCAACCTGCAACAGGCACAGCCCCCAAAGGACAGGGACAACCTGCCCGGTCGGCAAGGGCCAAGGGGCGAGGGGCCTTCTTGGGCAGAAACTCAACAGGCAGCAACACAGCTGGTGACTCCTGAAATAATCCAAAGGCTGTTTAGATGGAGCAGACATGACAGCTAAGGCTTCCCTGGGCCCATGTGAGTGTCTACAGACAGAGGTAGGACATGGTCACGCACTAATCGCTCTCCAGCTGTGGAAATTACAGCTGTCCGAGAGAACTGCGTCCTTCCTGAATCCTCCAGCGCCTGGATTTACAGCTGGCTGCGGCCCAGCTAAAAGAACATGGCTTCCATGCCACCTGCTAAGCCCCAACAGAGGCCTCACATCTTCCAGAGGATGTCCCAGAGGAGACTCAGTCCTCCAGTCCTCCAGTTTCACAGTCACACTCACAGACAACATCCCTCGAGGACCAAGGCCACATATACCAGTCATTTCTCCCAAAGTCACTGTGGCGGTCACACAATGTTGTGAGGGCAGTACAGAAGTAAAAGAACGTGTATGAGGCCCAGGAAATGTTTTCCACAAGTCCATTGCACTGCAGACACCCTTCAAGAAGAAGACTCATGCTCACAGTGACAGAGAGCCCTGGCCCAAGCAAATGGATTTCCACGGCTCTCAGCCCCCTTTTCAGCATCTGCCCCTACCAAAGTGCTATGGAACCGGGCCAGACGTTACCAACCTAAAGAAGTTCCACTAAAATATTTTTCTTTTGATCCTTGGTTACTGGATCAGTCAGAAAGTTGAGGAACAAGACAAAAAACAGCAGAGAAAACTTCCCTGAAACAGCACATACAACTGAGCTTCTGTCCACAGGGCAGAGCAGCAGCAGTAGACCTAGGCTCACGACACACCACTTGTAGCCAGCCCAGCTGTAGCAAGAAGAGCTGGTCACAGGGACAATGAACAGAGGCACAGTCATACCTGCTTTCCACTACACCAGGCCTTGCCGGCCTCAGGAAAGACACTCTCCTCAAGCAACGCCAACAGTAGCACCCTGCAGTCCTGCTGTACACGTCAAGAATAGACAAGCCCAAAGGGACAGACACCATCTCAGCTGCCTCGGAAGCACCTTATCTCCTCGAACAGGGGCAGGACCATCTTCTGGGGTCACTTCCGTTGAGAGACATGGCCCGGATCCAGCCCTGCAGGGAATGCAGTACACATAGGCCTGCCTCTCACCCTGATAAGGAGCAAAGAGATGCCTGAGAGGAGAAGAAAGCTCCAGTCACAGCATCCCTGAACCCACCATGGTGTGACCCTAGGGCCACTCACCAGCATCCCGCAGAGTGCTGATGGCCAGATGCTAGATGGCCATGGGCCTCATTAGAAGTACCATGGAAGGTCCTAGCCAGAGGATGCAGGATAGCCACGGAGAACTAGAACGCCCCAGACTGCATCCTCCTGCTTGATAGGCTTGATCAGGCAGTCATCCACTCTCCTGGGCACTGAGTAAAGAACCCAGCATGGCCACCTAATGACCCGCAGCTTTGCACATGCTGAGCAAAACCCACCACTGAGCCATACTCACAATTGCTGGCAAGTGCTTATCAGTGAGCTGTACATTTTTTATTTTTTATTTTAAGACAAAGTCTTGCTAAGTTGCCCAGGTAGGGCCTGACCTTTCAATTCTCCTTCCTTAGTCTCACAGTAGCTGGGACCACAGGGGTATGTCATAAGGCCTGGCTCAAGTGTAACTCTTTAAGCTCAGTTACCTGGCTCCTTTCTCAAGTTACAGTTCTCAGATGGGCCTCTGTGCATCACACCATGAGGGTGAGTGTGCAGCTCCGAGCCCCTCCTTAGCCCCTCAGACTCCTAACTCCAAAGAATGGAAGTCTAGAAAACAAAACTTAAAAAGAGACTCCTGTACCAGAACCCTAATATTTGGTATCTTTCCAAGTAACACCTCCTAAAAGCTAGGCAGATGGCACAGGCTCAAGACCTCCACCAGAAACCTCTGCCCAGGAACCCAGTTTCTTCCCCTAGGAACCTACACAGCCCAGAACAGCACAGCCCGCGGTGGACACTAGGATTCTGTCTTCCCAGTGACTCAATAACCTACTGGTGTGAGCTTCTGTCCCCAGGGCACCTTGCAGAGCTCCCTGAGGAAGCTGTGAGTGACACAGCCGTCTGAGGATGCCAGCAAATACTGCCCTGCCCCACCTCCAACACCCCATGTTCTCCACTTTCCAGCAGTGGGTGTGGATGGACCTTCCTGAACACCTCCTCCCCACCGGTGCTTCCTAATTGCTCCCCAGGCCAACACCTGAGTCCACAGGAGGGGCTGTCAGGGGACCGTCTTCCACTGACCCTTGAAATCCAGACCCCTGCCCTGTAAGAATACAGTGCCCTCAAGATGGCATGTACGACCAAAAGGCTCACCTGGCAAGGGCAGCCACAAAGGGCGCCAGCTCCTGTGGGTCGTAGGCACGCGCGAAGGCCCAGCACACGTAGCAGGCAGCATCCCTGACATTGGCACCCACACTGCAGGCACCCCGCTTCTCCTCATAGGTCACAGCCCTCAGGATCACGGTAACCACTGTGGGAGACACAGACAGTGAGGACTGGCATGCCACAATGCAGCACCAACGGTGTCATGACTGCAGGCGAAAACTCCACAGGGAAGGGAAGCTCACACCTCAAAGCAGCCAACAGTCAGGTAGGGAAGCAGCAGTTCCTCCAGAAGGGCACTACTCCCCGCTGAGCTCTGAGGGTGAAGCTGAAAACCACACGTGATATGGGAAAAACCTGAGTGCTGTGGGATACCAGGTGCCCACTGGGTAGGCAGAAGGACCTAACCCGTCTCCTGGCAGCAGCAGGGCCTCAAGAGCCTCCAGGGAAAGAGGCCACACACTGCACTACAGGCTCAGGAGTGCAGGCTCCAAGGCAGCAAACTCAGTCCTCAGCTGCTCTGTGAACGTCACTATCTGTAATGCTCGTGACCATCACAGTGGGGTGTGGGGCACTGCATTTTTGAAAGCACATCTGGTCCTGTGGACACAAGCAACTGAGCGACTGAAGTCCCACATGTGACTGCTGATGACAATCACAGTCTGAGACCTCTGAGTGCAGGCATCCTCCACCACCAACGCCTCTGCAGCTGCCTGCTCTGTTTACTAGGGGTACCTGGGAGGGTCTGTTAGAAACGTGTACATTTATTAAAAACAGGATTAGCCAGGCATGGTGGCACATGCCTAAATCCCAGCCCTCTGGGAGGCTGAGGCAGGGGGACTGAAAGTTCAAACCCAGCCTGGATAACTTAGTGACTCAGCAAGAACTTGTCTCAAAATTTTAAAACTTTTTACAGGACAGAGAAGGCCATGGGTTTAATCACCAATATTGGAAATACACTTATTAAAATATTTTGCAAATAAATCAAGCCCCTAAAAGTATTCATAATAAGAAAAGGCAACCACAAAAAGCTTAATAAGTATTTATTTTGCAAGTCAAGGACAAAATCATAGTTTTTTTTTAGAAAGTCACATCAAAAGGAGTTTTTTGAAAGACCATGCTAAAAGTTCCAACTTACTGATTCAAAATAACAAACTACAATGCCATAAAGAACACTAAATAGCCCACATCAACATTTAAAAACTATTAAAAAAATTCTAACAGTGCAGCCAGGTGCTGTGGCTCACACTACAATCTCAGCTACTGAGGACCGAAGGGTCACAGGTGGTCAAGCGCAGGCTGGGCAGCAAGGCAACAGACAGCTTGTTCCAAAATAAAATTTTTGGGTGTAGCTCCATGCTTCCTACATTCAATCCCCAGGACTGCAAGAAAAAATGACTACAAGTATGTGACCATCTACTCACAGAAGAAAAGAGGTTTTTCCTGTGTCCAAGTGCTATAGCCACCTGGCAGAATGCTCCACAGTCAGCAAGTGACTGAGGACACCTGCAGCATAAGCACCAGGAAAGGCTCTCAGCGCCCTGTGGCCTGCACACACACTGCAGTGTCCTGGTACACAGCCAGCAGTTTCCAGATCAACCTGGGGTTCACCTGCCACCTAGCCGGTGGCTAGGCGCTGTGCTCGTCACCGGGCTGTGGTCTGTGGATGTCACCCCAGACCAACCAGGAGTGGCCAAGAAGCCCCTGATGGCTGCCGCAGAATGCAGATCAGCAACAGCCAGCAACAGACACTGCCTGGCACACCCACTAGCCACTCCACAGCACCAGCCTCATGGCTGCCCACACCCACCTGTTGGGCAAACAGCACCCAGACAAAAATCATGAAAAACAGGACTGCAAATGATACACAGGATCCCCTTCTGCCTTTTTAGTCTCAAGATTTTTATTCTATATAATAGCACCCAAAATATTGATATAATACTAAACAGGGTTTTTTTTACATATATACAGTGATTATTTTTTTAAAAATTATAAATTTGCTATTTATAGGTTTACTTAAAACTACACCAATGAACTTTCCAACGGACACTATGATATCGGTTATGTCTACTTCCATTAGGAGGAAGGCTCCCGGTCAGGTCTCACACAGGATGAGTCATGGGCCAGGACCACACAGCATCCTGAGGAAGCCAAGGGACCATGAGGGTCCCACAGATGCTAAGGCCACCCAGTCTGGTCCTGGCCTCCTCTTCACCCTGCTACAAATCCCAACAAGGTCCAGGCCCCTGCTAAGTCTCTATCACCCCAACATGCCTCAGTCTCTCATAGACAGCTAGGAGGCCACTCGGTGGGTCAGGGACAGAATCTGTCTCCCAAGTGTGCTCAGGATATTCATGGCAAGGCTGCTGCTTCTGACTTCGTCAAATCCCATCCTAGCAGCCACGCTGCATCCCAATTCTTCCTACCCAATCCACCCTGAGAAAGCACCAACCATGTGGCCACACAAGCTGGCTTACCAGTTCCTTCACCCTGCCTAGCCCTGAGTCATCCAACCCCACACAGAGTGGACACTGGGCCCCCCTATGGAGGAGGGAGCCACAGCACCAGAGGACCACCTGAGCTGCTGAGCAGCCCAGGGGTTGAGCCTGGTTATCTGGAGCACATGTGGTCCCTGTAAACTCCTCACAACCACCTTCTCCACACAGAGAGCCCCACTGGGCTCACAGAAGCCATAAAAAGGCAAACCCAGTGAAGCTGCAGCAGTCACATCTAACCAAGACCTCACCTAGAGCAAGTCTGTAATGTGGCAAGGCACACAAGGGTCCACCTGGAGAAACTTGGTTGACCTGGAATTATTCCCAGTGTGCTGGTGTCACTCAAACATACTCAGCAGCTAAGCAACGTCAACACTAATCAGTAGTGGCACTGGGTGTTGGGGAGAGGTACATGGTGCAGCTGCTGCTGGCCTGACTCCCCGGACTTCCTCAAAGAGCTGCCCAGATGCTCTAGGCAAGGCCAGTCAGCAAGCCCATGGCCTCAGGGTGCCCTCTCCCAGTGTCAGTTTACTCTTCCACAGGACAAAATCAATTTCTGAGCAGACAACTACAAGAGGCAACCTCAGTAGTGCCAACCCTTCCACAGGCCCCACACCAGCTCCACAGAGGAAGCTGCCCGGCACCACCTGAGAGTGCCCTGTACAGCACTGTGCAGCCCAGCAGGGCGGCCAGGTTCTGCTTCCAGGCTGAAGGGAGATGGTTCTGCAAAGTGTCCTTTGCACTGGCTAGCGAGGCAAATCAGTCATGAGAATCATAAATAACAGGTCTGCATCTGCTAACAGCTCCTGTCTAGATACGCAAACACTCTCTGGGTTGGGAGAACCCACCTGCAGGTGCCTACCAGCCTATATCTCTATTTGGAGGGAGCCAGCCTGCACAAGGGTACAGAAGCCAGAACTGAAGACACCCACCACACCCTGATTGCTATCCAGCCGCATTGTGGGCACTTCATGATCTTCCAAAGTCAGCAGGGTGTGCTAAGTTGAAGAAGCAGAGTGAAGCCCACAGGACCTTGGCCCACTACCAGTGCTGCCCCATGTCCTGTGTCACACATCCTCACAACTGTCTTGTACTCTCCCAAGACGTCCAAGGACTGCCACAGGCCACAGCAAACACCAGGGCCTGAAACACAGCCACCTACAAGGCCTGGATGCCAGAGACTAGCTGAGCAAGGAAACTACTGTGCCACAGGCCACTAGGAAGGGATCTGACAGGCAGAGAGTAGAGCAACTTGGGTGAGACAGCAAGACGAGAGACCCCATAACCAGAAAAGGAAACCAGCCTCTGCCACACAAGAGAAGCTCCAGAAGACAAGTCTGGGCCAGCCTCAGTGGTACCTGGAAATGAGCTCACCCAAGGCTGGGGCATCTGGATCAGAAACTCTTTCCACTAAATTTTATATAAAGATTCAAAAGCTAATAACTCTTTCCAGATCCAACAGATTTAAAATAAGGAAACCGTTCACTAGCTTTGAACAAAACCTTTTCTCGTAGTTCCAATTACATGCTGCAAATGCATGTCAGATATTACCTACCCAGAGGGCTTCCTTTTGGCTACCCAGAGCCCAGTGATGTAACTTAAGTGCCCTTCTCCCAGACAGCACATCATTTGCTTAATGCCAGCTGTCTAAAGAGAAAGCTCCAGATGAAAGCATCCCTGCTCTCCAAGCCCCACATCCACTACAGGGATGGGCTGTGGGCTGATGCACTCTGTGGGCTGATCCCACAGCCCATCCCACAGCCCACTCTGTGGGCTGATCCACTCAGCCCGCAGAGGCTGAGTGCCAGGCAGCCTCAGCAGATACAAAAACACCCCCTCCCCCCACACAGTCACTCATGAGGAGCTGTTGAATGGCACGCACGTGGAGACACAACCAGCCTGTATGACTGTGGCGGGCATGCCTGGTGCAGACCAGAGGCCGTGCTTGACTCTCCATCCTGAACTAGACAGAGGGGAGTGTGCACAGCTGACAGACAAGTAGCAGCAAAGAGGCTTTCCCAGAGACGAGGGTAGAGACTCCTCCAGGGCAGGCTGGACCACACATGGGAGGCTGTGCCAGCCTGCAACTGAGCCACCCCAAAGCAGAGCTGGTGAGGGCCTCTCGCTGGCCCAGGAGCAGCCAGGTTTCAGAGCTGCAGAACACACTACTTGTACCAACAGCCATCATGCTGCCCTCAAGAATGTAGCCCGGCTTGCTCAGAAAAATGCCCATGCTGAGGTCGCTGTGGGCAGGAGGAAGTAAGGGGCAGAACACACTATGGGATGAGGCAGGGCTGCACAGAGGCCCCCGCTGGATTGCTGCTGCAACACCTGTAACTATAGGTGGGGAAGCACAGACACAAGCACCCCACCTGCCCGCAGAGGGCCAGGGACCAGCCTCAGGGCACACCTTCTGCACAAGGTACGCCTCATAGGTGTCACTTGGCTCTGACTCCTCCTGGGCCTCAGGTACTCACTCAGCCCAGGGGCCCTGCTCTCCTTTCACACGAAGGCACATGGCTGCCATCACACATCTGCAGAGGACCAGGTGGCCTCTCCCAGACAGGTGTCCTAGGGTCTCATGGCCCTGTTTGGTGGCACTGTCTCTACCATGCTACCAGGCAGGCATGGCAAAAGCTCTTCACCAGAGAAA